ATCCTTTCATGCTCTGATACCTACCCCCCTACTTCTCCCACCTGCTTACTCCCCAACACACTACCCACTGCCTCCGCTCAACTGGCTCCAGTCTTCTGCTTGTCCCTCGAGCCCTCTGTTCCACCATCGGTGGCTGTGCTTTCAGCTACTGTGCCCCAAAACTCTGGAACACTCTTCCTCTACCCTTCCGCCTTGCCCCTTCCCTATCTTCAGGTCACGCCTGAAGACCTTCCACTTCGATGGCGCCGACAGTCACCTCCCCCCGGCTCGGCGTCATACTCCGCCACTGTCAAGCGCTCTGGGACACAACCCTGCGTGAGGGGCGCTGTGTGAGTGCAAGTTGTTGTTATCTGTTGCGCTAAACGAACACCATTTCCTGTATTGCTCTGTTCTCATTCACTGCTGCTAATCAGATGATTCTGAAGTACTGATTCAGATTGAAACCATTCTTTGGTTATAATCAGCATAGTTTTGGTTGCATTGAAAACCACATGAAACTTTGTTTTTATTCATTTGTGTTTCTGCGAATTATCTCCAACTGGATCTGGAAACAATATGTTTCCTGCCATTCAGAAACTTTCCAACATTTTCACAGGTTTGGCTCAGACCCCAACAGGAAATCACTTGGGAGCAAGTCTTTTCAATTTGTCTTGATCCACAAGGAACTGCAGTTGATTTTCATTAGAATCACAAAGGAGATTGAACAGTTTATTCGAGGAGAAATTAAACTATAGCTTTCAAAAGGGAATTGGATAAAAAAGAAACATTTGTAGGGCGATGGGGTAAGTCGGGGGGATCGGGACTAGTCGGTAGCTCTTTCAAAGAGCCGACACAGATGGGTAGAATGTGTTGTAAGATTCTATAATTCTACGAAATGCAATCATCTACTGTATAGATTAACATAACATAATATGTAGGAGCAGGAGTACAATAGAGGTACAAGAACATAGGAACAGGGTTAGGCCATTCAGCCCCTCCAGCCTGTTTCACCATTCTGTAAGATCGTGTCCTATCTATATCTCAACTCCAGTCACTCGCCTTTACCCCATATCGCTTGATACCCTGAGCTAACAAACATCTGTCCACCTCAGCCTTGAATATCCAGCATTTGATGTAGCGCCAATTGCACACAGCAACGTCCTCACACACAGTTCTGGATTGAGTCACCAAACGCTTTTTTTTTTGGAGGGATTATTAACCCCCGTAAAGCGATCTGCCAATCAACTAACAACCGGGGATTACAAGCGCAAAGATTATTATTGTCACCTTATTTCCGTGAATCTGTATTTTGGGTGGGGTGGGTGGGGGTGGGGGGGGGAGGAAGGAGAGGAAAGAGTTCATTTGGTCTTGGGACCTTTGTTGGTTCCCACCGGTTGGGTTGGGTTGGGTGCCATGGCTATAGCAGCTGGACAGGAAGCCAATTAAGTTTCGCGATTGGCGTTAAGCTTAAGGTTCGACCGCTGTCGGCTTCCGTCGCCCAGTCTCGGAGCAGCGTCTCGTAAGGAGACGGGGCCGCCGCGGTGCGCGCTGGGAGTTGTAGTCCTGTCCGGGGCCGGGGGGGGTGGTGTGTGATTCCGCGTGACGTGGACTGCAACTCCCGGCGAGCCGTGCGAGCTGCGCACGCGCACTGCCGGTCTTGTGTTAAACAGCAGCTGAGATTGGAGCTGAAGAGAGAGAGAGAGTGAGAGAGAGAGAGTGAGAGGTAAAGAACATCATTTTGGGGGTAATTAACAGTTTAAAATGTTTTAATGTTACAGTTTACACACAGTTAAGGCTCAGCGAGTGTCATAAAAGCCGGAGTTTGTCACAAGGGGAGCCATGTCCTGGGGATATCGAGGATTAATGCCACACAGTTCAGTATTATTGGACAGTTTGTAAAGTCTGTGGATATTTTTAATGACAATAATCCTCGCGTTCGGTATCGCGGCTTTGAGACGTCTCGAAGCGCTTCACGGGATACATTGTAAAGTGTAGTGACTGTATTTTATGGGGGTGGGGGGGGGACCGCGGCAGCCGATTGTGCCCCAGCGACGACCCACAGTCAGTCGTGGATTGAGTGACCGCATTTTTTTTTTTTTTGAAGGGATTAATTGCCTCCGGAGGGCGATCCGTGGATCAGCTAACGACCGGGAATCCTACTCACTGCGACGTAAACGAGGGGCGTGTGGCATAAGGAAGCTTGGGAATCGAACCCTGGTCCTCCTGCCTGCGAGGCGAGTGTTTGATTCAGTAACAGTAGCCAAGTTGACTGCCTGTCGCCGTGCGGCTCGGGGCCCGTGTCTCTCCTCTCTTGTTTCCTGGGCTGTCACCTTCGCGGCATTTATTAATGATATGTAGTAATCCGTGCGTTTGATATCGGGCTTATCACGGTGTCGAGACGTCTCAAAGCGCTTCACAGGATTTACTGCAAAGCGGAGTGACTTGTATGTTTTGTGGGTGAAACACAGCAGCCAATTGAAGTAAATTTTACAGTTTGAGGGCAGCCGGGAGGCCGGGCAGCCGGGCAGGGCTCCTCAGCCTCCAGGTTCTCATCTGGCTTCTCCTCAGGCTGTGAGAATAGAATTCTGTCCCTGGGGGAACAGAGCCCCCACCACCACCACCACCACCACCACACACACACACTCTCTCTCAGACACCAGTGTGGAAAGAATGGCACAGATGTACACAAAGTGCGTGAACGTTTGGCCACCAAAATCTAGACAACGGCCTCTTTTTGTATGGCAACCAGGGTACAAGAGCAAGTGCTCCTGAACCCTGCTCGCGACGATGCTTCCAGCATCTGTGCCCCCAGTCTCGATGCTTCCTTGTCAGCCCTTTGCTTGTCAACTGTATTGCGTGACGGCAAATAGTTCGGCATCTCTTTGTTCACAGGACACTCAGTGTTGCTTTCAGTAGAGGTGTCCAGGCAACCTGTTGATTTCCTGGATGCCTGATGTTATCTGGTCTGTCATGATGTTTCCATGTTCCCTGTGCTGTCAGATGTGGACTCCCATAGCATAGTGGTTAGCCCACAAAACACACAATCTCGACTGAATTTTTTTGATTTATGCCCCAGTTCAATCGAGGAAATCCTTGGAAACGCAATATTGATTGAATGCGGACTCAGCTGGGATCGTGTGAATGTTCGGGGGGTGGTGGGGGGGGGGAAGAGGTCGGGGGGCTTCTGGAGGATATCTCAGGAGCCACTTCTGGTCTGCGAGCCACAAGTTGGCCACCACTGGTGGAGACCCTCAGAACCGACTCTGACCTCACGATAAGGCAAGCGCTCGGCTCAGTGTACACAGCACTCAGGCCAGACACTGATCTCACTGCTGATGAATGTGGTTGAATACTTTCAACTAATACTTTCCGGAATTAGGTAAGCAGGATGCCCCTGTTTGTGGGGACGCTGCTGTGCGCAATTGGCTGCCGCGTTTCGCCCACAAAATATACAGCCAATTCACTTCACATTATTTTCTGGTGAAGCGCTTTGAGACGTCTCGAAGATGTGATAAGACGCCATAGCAAATGCAAGGATGATTATTATTAAAGTAAATTTTAAAATATTGTAAAGAAAAAAGCAAGGATTATTATTGTGTGTATATATATATTCTGCGTATAGTTTGTGATGACAACCGGAGTTACAGTAAATGACTGGATGATGTAAATGTCTGCTGCGTTTCCTGACTGCTGCTGCCGCTTGTTAATAGGCTGGCGATGACATAATGCGAGGTATCTGGAGAAGGGATGACAAGTGCAGCAATGACCTGAAGTAAACCTGAGCTCAGACACAGGCTGAGAACGCATCACATGTTCCTCCGAATCCAACTGCTGCAGTGAGAATAATAATGATAATCCTTGCATTAGATACAGCGCCAGTCACATCGGGAGGACGTCTCAAAGCGCTTCACGGGATTTCACTGTAGAGTGTAATGACCATCTTTTACAGGCACCAATTTTGCACATTTCAGTGTCCGACAAGCAGCCGTGAAGTGAGTAACTGATTTTGTCTCGGTGGGGGGTGGGGGGGGTATGGTCGGCCTGGACACCGGGAGAGAGAGCAAAACTCCCTTCTCTTTTTGAACAGGTCCTTGGCATCTTGAGCAGGCGGGGGATGGGGTTGTTACTGACTGCTGTGTAAACTCCGAGATGTCTGGCAGAACAGTGAGCGTTTTATGGCTTGAGATGTCCTCCTACATCTGCTACAATAATAATAATCCTTGCATTTGATATAGTGCCTCATGTTGTTGAGACACCTCAAAGCTCTTCACAGAATATACTGTGATGCGTTTAGTGGGTGCAACGCAGCAGCTAATTGCGGACAACAGTGTCCCACAAACAGTCGTGGATTGAGTGACCACATTTTTTTTTGGAGGGATTATAACTCCCAGAAAGCGATCTGCCAGTCGACTATCAACCAGGTTCCTACTTACCGCCAGGTAAGGGGGCATGTGGAATAAGGAAACATAAGGTTTTGCTCTGCCCGGGAATCAAACCTTCTACCTTTTGCTTGCGAGGCAAGTGCTCTAACCACGAAGATACAGGATTTCTGTTCGTTTGCAACTGCACAACATCAAGCCATGTACATACATATGCTCCATCTAACGTTAATGAAAGGGTTGATCCAAGAGCAGTAATTAAGGATTTATTTCCTGATCCTTATAAATAAGTTGTGTCGGGGTAAAAGTTTAATGAGAGCTTGTAGCTGTTGATTGTTGTGAGTGTGAGATCTGCATCTTTTATGAGATGCAGTGCAGCAGGTTTAGGCTGACTGGTGTGCTCTTTGTGCTTCTCTGACTCGAGGTGAAATCCCTCTGGCCTGAGTAATAATAATAATCCTTGCATTTAATATAGTGTTTTATCACGTTGATGAAATGTCTCAAAGCTCTTCACAGAATAGACTGTAAGGAGGAGTGTGTGTTTGGGCGAAAATAAAGTAAGAGAAATAAGATAAGTTTTCCCTTTGCCAAGCGCAACCCGCAAATAATATAACTATGTTCTCTGTTTCAATTCATTTTCAGGCTGTGTGGGTGAGGCACTGGCGGAAGCTTATCACCACAGCTCACCCAGTGCTATCTCAAGTCGTGACATCCTGAGCTGAGCTGTTCCACCACTGAACAAGGAGCAGCAGCCGATGTGAGCAGTGAACCCCGTCCCCCCTAGTGTGCCTGGGGGCTGTGTAACCGCCAAGATGTTGTGCCAGCTGATCTGGGTGCAGGTTAACGTGATTAGCCTCACCGGGAAGGGTTAGATACCCCCAGCGCTGGCTCCCTCCCAGCCTGAACTCCTAACACTTTGTCGAGTGGGGATTTGAGGACTTTGATAGACTCCCGACCCCCATAGTTGTGACTTGTTACGGCCAGAAGCCTACCCAATATCCCCGAGAAACACCAAGGCCATTTCCATACAGGAAGCTGTGTGAGCAATGGATGGAGATCAGATCCGCAGGACTGAATTTAAGGAGGAGGTACGTGAATAATAATAATAATCCTTGCATTTGATACAGCGCCTTATCATGTCTTCGAGACGTCTCAAAGCGCATCATAGAATATACTGTAAAGTAAATTGACTTTTGTGGGCGAAACGTGGCAGCCAATTGCAGACGGCAGTGTCCAACAAACTGTCGTGGGATGCATCCTGCTTACCTAATTCCAGAAAGTATTAGTTGAAAGTATTCAACCTCATTCATCAGCAGTGAGATCAGTGTCTGGCCTGAGTGCTGTGTACACTGAGCCGAGCGCTTGCCTTACAATGAGGTCAGAGTCGGTTCTGAGTGTCTGCACCAGTGGTGGCCAACTCATGGCTCGCAGACCAGAAGTAGCTCCTGAGATATCCTCAAGAAGCCCCCCGACCTCTTCCCCCCCCGCACCACCCCACTGAACATTCACACGATCTTAGCTGAAACCGCATTCAATCAATATTGCGTTTTGAAGGATTTTTTTGATTGAATCCGGGTATAAATCAAAAAATTATTCAATCGAGAATATTCATATTGTGGCCGGCCAAAAAGCTTGCTCTTCCCTGTGGTGTGAAGCCTGAGAGCCCAGCGTCTTGATGGACGGAGCCAGCCACAGGGCTTTGTGTTTGCTGGCACAGTTTGCTGAAACTCCTCTGGTGCTATTAGTCACTGAAATCTTCATGTAGTAACTGCTTTCTTTCCATGCAGGTGCTGAACTGCCCTGGCCAATGGAACTGTGCACCAGATCCCCTCCTGAAACAGAGCAACAGCACAAATGTAGGTGTGAATGACTGTGACTTTCCTGTGCGTACAGCTAGGTTGGGAGCGAGGGGCCGGGGACACCGTTACAGCGTGGAGAGTTTCTCACTCAGTGTTTGGAGTGTGTTTCTGACACAACTCGAGGGCGCTTGCAAAGGTTTTAGTGTCCTTCAAAGGAGAGTGAACCCAGAAAGTGCTTAACATTAATTCTCTGGTGATTGGGGGGGTGGTTGGTGGGGTGGTGGTTGAAATCACAGCAACACTTCCCTTTAGCAGAGCAAGTGCTGGAAACACATTGATGATTCGGGTGCAAACCCTTGACAGTCCAGCACCTTGGGACGTCCTCCTGACCTGAAAGGCGCTGTGCAAATGCAGTTTGTTGCTGTTGTGTGTATGGTGAAGACCTGTTTGTTGCGCTGTGTTTCAGGGTGTGCTGGGTTTGTGTTTGTACTCCCATGGGGCAGAAGACACGTGCAATGGAACAGCACTGCTGAAATCTGGACCGGTAAGTAATAAGAAGCGAGATATTCTGGTGGAATCTGCAGGAACCTTTAGAGCACTCACTTCACAAGTGAGAGGACCTGGGTACGATTCCTAGGCAGGGCGAAACCTTAGGCACATATCACTATTCCAACTGTTTTTACCGAGCAGTGAGTAGGAACCAGGTTGTTAGTCAATTGGTGAATTGCTTTCCGTAGGTAATAATCTCTTCAAAAATAAATAAATATACAATTCGGTCACTCAATCCATGACTGTTTGTGGGATACTCTTGTACTCAATTGGCTGCTGCATTTCGTCCTCAAAACATACAGTCTATTCATTTTACAGTAGATTCTGTGAAACACTTTGAGACGGCTCAAAGATGTGATAAGGCCCTGTATCAAATGCAAGGATTATTATTGTTGTTTGTGCATTTCCCTTTCTCACAGTTTTTAATCTTAAAATCCACTTTGGTTTCTCTCTAGATATCTGCATTGAAGAGAAATGGTCTTTTACAGTCTCTCACCGCTGGAGGCAATGTGTGTGAACAGAAAGGTGAGTCTCTCTGTTCATAGCGTCTTTGACAGAAGCTGGGACTTGGTTGTCTGTAGGCGTTAAAGATCCTGTAACAATATTGGAAAAGAGAAGGGTGTTTCTCCTCTCTCTCTCTCTCTCTCTCTCTCTCTCCCAGTATCCTGACCAACAATCCCCCAACCAAAATTGGTCAGTCTCTATATGGTTGTTTGTGGCATGTGGCTTGGCACAAAATGGGGGCCTAATATACTTATGAAAGCGGTGACTACGTGTGATGTAAAGCACTCATTCCCTCCAATTTGTGAAACCTGCTGACGACCCATTTGTTTTTGTTTGCTTCTCTTGCTCAGCAGAGGTGAGTTTGGAGGTGTTACAAGCAGAGGCTGAGTGGGATGCTTTGGAGGCAGCACAAACAGGTGAGAGATGGATCTTCAGGTTAGTTGACTTACTGGTGCGAGGGACAGGCTCACACCACTGACTGGGGTGAAGACGTGTTGTGAAATCTAGACAAAGGACAAACGTACCTGCGCCTTCAGTCACTACACCCTGAAGCTTTGGAACTCTCCCCCCCCCAAACCTTCCACCTTACCCCCTCCTTCCCCCTCTTCAGGTCGCGCCTGAAGACCTTCCTCGTTGACCGTGTCTATGGTCACCCCTTCCCTCCCCTCCGCCGCTCTCAATTTTCAGCCACTTGTCTACAAGAGGAAGGAATATGACACTGAACTGAAATGGGAGGCCAGTAATGAATGTTGCTACAGAATTGAAAGGGAGCAGCTTGTGCGCACAGCTTGTAATGTCACTGTCTGGTTGTTCTTTCCTTTCAGGGTTTCAGTTGGACGACCGAGAAGGTAAGAGTTGCTTTGTGCAGTTACAAAGGATTATATGATTTTGGCACTGAAATATCTTCTTGGAGGATCACTGAAAAGAGCTCCACAAACTCGAGCCGTCCAACCATCCCAACTGTACTGTTGTGTGTTTAGGTCTGGACGACACAACGGGATGTACACCCCTCATCTCCTTCAACGAGGCTCTTCAGCATTTTCAGACCGCAGATCTTTCTGAGTACAGAGTAAGTAGTAGCAGAGACGATTGGGGTGTTTTAAGGGGAAATAAACTAAAAGAGGTTATGAGGAAATGGGATTAGAAGACCTGCCACCAACCAATTGATAGTGGAACAGAGTCCTCTCCTCGCAAGCGAGAGGACCCGGGTTTGATTTCCTTAACCCACATACCTCTGTTTACCCAGCAGTAATAGGAACCCAGGTGGTTAGTCGATTGGCTGATCGCTTTCCAGGGTAGTGAAGTTTTTTTTAAAAATTGGTCACTCAATCCACGAATCTTTGTGGGACACTGCTGTGAGCAGTTGGCTGCCGCAGACATGATAAGGCATTATATCAAGATGCAAGGATTATTATTGTTGTTGTTAACACGCTCACTGACTCTTACAAAGTGTAACCAAAGGACACGTCAAGTGAGCAGAGAAGCAGAAGGTGACGGGGTCTGGGTTTGCGGAGTTGAGACCTGCTCTGGGTGTGACGGAGTCTGCTATTTTGTGTGTATTTTCAGAAGAGGATCCAGCCAACAGTGAGAAGGACCGGCCTCTCTGCCATCACTCACTTTCTCTTCGGGCCGCCCCGATTACACAAGGAGCTGCAGGAGGAGCGATACCTGGTGTTCGCAATCGCACAGTGTGAGTACCGGGCCCTCGAGAGCTCCCTTACTGAAGCTCAACACTGGGTGGGGAGAGTGGGGGTTGGTTCTCTACACTCAGGGAAAGGCAGAGAGGCTTTTGGTCGTCACCCAGGCCTGAGCACCTGAATTGTTATTTTTTCTTTTGGAGGAATTATTACGGAAAGAGATCCACCAATCAACTAACAGCCGGGTGGGTTCCTACTGACTGCTGGTAAACAGAGGCGTGTGTGTGCAGTAAGGAAACTTGCCTAAAGTTTCGTCCTGTCCTACCCTGCCCAGGAATCAAACCTGGGTCCCTCACTTACAAGGCGAGTGCTCTAACCACTAAGCTACAGGAGTCCACACATAAGGAGGTGTAAATGGCTGTGTTTTCTGGGTGCAGGCTGCCTGGATAATGCACAGAAAGTTCACATGCGGGTGCTACAGACAATATACAAGAAGCTGATGGGGGCAAAGCTGGACTGTGCACGATACGGATCTCACTGGGAACAACTGGGATTTCAAGGTAAACTTGGGAGCCGTTTGCTCTGTGCTCTTGGAGTTGACGTACAGATTGGCCATGATCAAATAGAATGGCAGAACAGGCTCGAGGGGCTGAATGACCTCCTCCTGTTCCCATGTTCCTGAGGTGCAGTGTCAGGCTGTGCCGGGCTGGGCTGTGCTGCACAGAGATATTGGAGTGTGTCCATCGATTCCAATTCCGTTTATTTTGATTGTAAAACTTGGCTCCTGGTGAACAGATTAAAAAGGAATGAAGCTAGTTCCCCCCCACGTCTCTCTCTCTCTCGCTCCTCGTGTCACCACAGTTGATGACTGAAGCCTGTTGTTTTTGTGCTGTTTCCAGGCCTGGATCCCAGCACTGATCTGCGTGGGACAGGATTCCTGGGCCTGATGCATCCTCTGTACATGGTGATGGATTTGCAGACTCTGCCTTTGGCTCGGGATATTTATAAACTCTCGCAACACGAGACGCAAGTTAGTGCACACACGTCCCTGTTGCCGCGTGCTTTGGTGTATCTGTGGTCGAGCTCGTGAGGGCTTTAGGTTTTGCGACTGAGAACACCCCCAGCTAAACCCATCTGCTTTCCGAGAATTTCTCTCTCTCTCGCCTCTGAATCGGAAGGTTGTGGGTTCGAGCCCCCACGTCAGGACTTGGAATCACACAGTCTAAGCTGACGCTGGGGTAGGGTGGTGGGGGTGTATTGCCAGAGATGCCGTCCTTTGGATGAGATGTTAAACCTGGGCTCTGTTCAGGTGGATGTTAAATATCTTCAGCGGCGCTATTTGAAAAGAGAAGGGAGTTTCTCTCTCCGGGTGTACTGGCTGACAAACCCTCAAATAAAATTGGTCACTCTCTCCATAATACTAACAATAATAATCCTTGCATTTGACATAGCGCCTTATCATGTCATCGAGACGTTCTAAAGCGCTTCCCAGAATATATTATAAAGTGGAGTGACTGTATATTTTGTGGGCGAACGCGGCAGCCAATTGCGCACAGCAGCGTCCCTCACAAACAGTCGTGGATTGAGTGGCCACATTTCTTCCCACTGTTGGCTGACTGTCTCTTATCTTTCACTGCAGAATTTCCCTTTCTGCGTGATGTCCATCAATATAACCAGGCTGGCTATCCAGGCTCTGAGGGAGGAATGCCTCACAAAGTAAGTGTCAAGGTCACACACGTTGGGTATCATTCCATACAGAACATAGTTCAGAATCCACGGAATTCTATACGGAAACTATTCCTGGCTTCAGCCGTTATGTAATTTTCCTACGTCTTTATTTTAATTGAACCATCTGCTAAACATTATTTTTTATCCCCGTTTTCCCTTTTAATCTCTTTGTTTTTTTACTTGTTTCCTTCTTGGTCTGTTTCTGTTGGCTGCTCCTCACGAGCACTGGTCAAACGCGGAGTTATAATAATAATAATAATCCTTGCATTTGATACAGCGTCTCATCAAGTCTTCGAGACGTCTCAAAGCGCTTCACAGGATCTATTGTAAAGTGACTTGACTCCCGACATTCTGATCCCAGTTTAGCTCCAAGGAGACCCCGCTCACTGCCCTTTCCCTCTGTCTCCCTCCCCCAGGAGAGTAATGGTCCTGGGAAAACAGGCTCCAGTGTCAGTGACACAGGAGGGTGGGGTGTGGGTGGGGATAGAGCGACAGTTGAGGTGAGAGGCAATGCTTCACATTAAGTCAACATTTCTCAGATAAACGATTTGGAGTTGAGTTACAGATCAGCCATGATCTAATAGAACAGGCTGGAGGGACTGAATAGCCTTCTCCTGTTCCTGTGTTGCTAAGTCGGTGTGGTTTGTGCTGGTGCAGAGAGTGTAACCGACGGCAGCAGGTGGTGGCAGTGCTGAACGATTTCTATGTGGCCGCCTTCCTTCATCTTTACCAGATCTGGAAAACGCAACGCAAGACAATCTGCGATTCTGGCTTCGTCCTGAAAGGTAAGGACGAGGGGAGGTGGTTCTGTGGAAACTGTGTGTGTCGTGAGGGAAGGTTAGTCAAGCATTTCATTGCTTCCTTGTTGGACCTCTCGTTAAGATCCTTGTAACACAACAACACACGACATTTACACAACACCTTTGCAAGACAAAGGGTCTGGGATGGAGTCTTCGAGGCGTCTCAAAGCGCTTCACAGGGTATACTGTAAAGTGGATTGACCGTCACTTTGTGGGCGCGACTTGCAAGCGTGTGGTTTACGATCAGAACAGAACATACTGATAATGTTCTCTTTCGTATATGTCTGCTTCAATCGTATTCTCTGCTTCCCCTCCCAGAGGTGTCAGTGTTTGCCAAAAAGAACCCAAAACAACTGCTCAAGAGGCTAGATTTGCATTTGATGGAGCGGCAGAATGGAGGAGGGATGACAGGAAGGGACGAGGACAACCAGACAACACCAAACAGGACATCCTCCGGCCACACCAAAGACATGAACTTTCTGGGCGTGTGTGAGCTGGAACCGGAGTCGGTTGGTGAGCTGCAGCTTATCTGAAAGCTGAGCAATATATATATATATATAGAGAGAGAGAGAGAGCACACAGACATCGCTGACACCTAGACTGTTTTCTTACTGCACTGCACAGGGAGCCCGAACTGACTGGACGTGAATCCCATTGTTTTATGTGGAGTCCTGTAGCGTAGTGGTCAGAGCACTCGTCTCGCAAGCGAGAGGTCCCGGGTTCAATTCCCGGTCAGGGCGAAACCTTGGGCAAGTTTACTCCGTGCACACGCCTCTGTTTACCTAGCAGGAAATAGTGGATCGCTTTCCGGGGGTAATAATGCCTTCAAATAAATAATAATAATCATAATAATTTGGTCATTCAATCCACGAATGTTCGTGGGACGCTGATGTGCGCAATTGGCTGCCGCATTTCGGCCACAAAATATATAGTCAGTGCACTTTACAGTATATTCTGTAAAGCATTTTGAGACATCGCGAAGACGTAATAAGGCGCTGTATCAAATGCGAGCGTTATTATTATTGTTGGTGCAAACCCTACACGGCATCGATGCAGTAGAAACAACTTCAGCTTTCTTTCCCTCAGTTAGCAGAGGCTTGCAAACGTCTCAATGTTGTTGTGGCCATTCAGTCCTCTTATTAGTCAGTGCAAGCACGGCACAGCAAAATCTCTCGTCACCTCCCGGTACCCTCTCCAGGTTACTCTGTCAGCCTCTCAGTTCAAGGCTATACAGATGAGGAGTGTTTAGAAGCTTTCACTGTGCTGTGACCATCAAATACTTTAATGTGCAACCAATTTAGCTTGTGTTTCCATTATTTCTGAACCGAGTTTAAGTTGTCTCACCAGAGAACTATTTGCACTGTCCTCTGTCTGCTATTGCCCATTCAGGTTGTCTCTATTGTTGGTGACTGTCTCCTGGTTGTATTCTTGGTAACGACTTTATCTATTTGGAGAATCTATCTCCCCCTTCTATGTTCGTCTGATTTATGTTCCTTTTAAAAAAGATTTAGAGATTATTTGAAAGCGTGCGATCTGAAAATTTTACTTCCTTGTGTGCGTGCGTGTGTTTAGACTCTCACTCACTCATTCTCTCCTGTGACTGTGCACTGTATCTGAACGCTCCACACACAGTGGGAGTCATCCTACTCAGCTGCTGTTAACCCTGCACGTCAAAGGCCTAACAGGTAGTGTGGTCTTAGCTGGACAAGTAGGGGGGAAGTTTGAGAGACAGCAAAATCAATGGCAAGCTATGTGCTTTGAGCTGGTTAGACTCCAGCAGTTATCCCAACGCGCACTCTGTGGGCTCCCCCAAAGGCTTGGCTCTTGCCAACCTGCTGCCTAATACTTTGCGGAATTAAGTACGCAGGATACATCCCGCCAGGGGGAGAGAGAGAGAGAGGGGGAGAGAGAGAGCGCATCCCATTCCAACAATCTATCTCTGGGATTTCTATCTGTAGGTGGGATGCATGGAATTGTCAGTTGGGTTTGGATACTCTTAAGCAACAGTGATGGGTTTCTGCATGTGTCACATCCAACTAACCAAAAAAAAACACAGCAATAGGGAGAATGAGTAAGAGATGTATAGTTGGGGGTTGATTAACATTTATGAACATTGAATATGCTTCATGGAAATTGTAGGCGCAAAGAGTTCTGAGCTTTATTTCCAAGGCAAATGGCGGTTTCCATCACACAGCACAGAAAGTGTTTTGGCTAAGCTATGACTTACTGCGGTGGGACAACACACACAGGAAGGGCTTGGGCTACTAAGCGCCCAATCCTGAAATCACTGGACACATGTGGCAGACCTTTCAGTACGTGCTGAGCGCTGTTTGCACTGCGGTTGGAGCAGAACAGTTTAAATTGGAGCTTGTTTTGTTTAAGCCCAGCAGCGATATAACCCAATTGATGTTTATGAAGCAGATGGAACCCTAAGAGGCCTCGCCTCGTCTGCGACACAGCCACAACGTTCAAGCCAACAGCAGCTGGAGAAGGAATTCAGGTCATTGCTGCCCATCGATTGGCGGATCGCTTTCCAGGGGTAACAATCCCTTCAAAAAAAATCCACGACTGTTTGTGGGGAACGCTGCTGTGCACAATTGGCTGCTGCGTTTCACCCACAAAATATACAGTCAATTCACTTAACAGTATATTCTGTGAAGAGCTTTGAGACATCTCAAAGACGTTGTAAGGCGCTATATCAAATGCAAGGATTATTATTATTAAGCCATCCTTTGGTTTTCAGTCCAGTTTGATTGAGGGCGACGTGGCAACGATTTCCTTTTCCTGACTTTGTTTTCCTGTCGTTTTCCTTTGCATGTTCTCCTCGGCTGAACTCTTAAGCGTTGAATTTGGTTCTCTGTATTCGGGATGTCACTGTTAAAAAAAAATAAACACTGTGATGTTATGGTAACGTGAAAATGCACTAAAACACCCTTTATTTTTGCAGCCATTGAAATTTACGTTTTTAAAATAAAAGCATTAATTGCAGTTATCAGACGGGGTCAGATTTATAGTGTTTAATGCACCAAAAGGACAGCGGTGCCGGTGATGTCGCGCCTCGTTCTTCATCACTAACCCCCACAGCACACACTTACATCCTGAGCCAAGAAAACACCACCAAACCGCCCCCTCCTCACCCCCGGACCCCCTCCTCACCCCCCGGACCCCCTCCTCACCTCCCGGACCCCCTCCTCACCCCCCGGACCCCCTCCTCACCCCCCGGACCCCCTCCTCACCCCCGGACCCCCTCCTCACCCCCGGACCCCCTCCTCACCCCCGGACCCCCTCCTCACCTCCCGGACCCCCTCCTCACCCCCCACCGGCCCAGGAACTGCACTGTCGCATTGATGGCTCCATCTTCTGACCATCTTGTGGACCTCTGGATGCTCCAGAGCAGCCAATGGGAGCCGGCGGTTGGCAGCAGCCAATGGGAGGGGAGGGTTGTGGATGGCAGTAGCCAATGGGGAGGGAAGGACTGTGGATGACAGCAGCCAATGGGCGGGGAGGGTTGGGGGTTGGCAGCGACCAATGGGAGGAGCGAGCTGGGGACGGCAGCAGCCAATGAGAGGAGCGAGCCTGGGAGACGGGCGGCGCCAATGGGACGGTTGGGCGCAGCCAATGGGCGCAGCCGCCGCTCAGCTCAGGGCGCGCGGGAGGGGGGAGGGGGCGCCTCGTCGGGGACGGCGAAGAAGATTTGGGCCTTTGGTTTAACCTGAATCCCATTTCGTCGGGAGAGGGAGATGGCGGTTGGCGCCCGCCATACTCCGCGGCCGCCGCGCGAGGCCTGTGGCCGCCATGGCCGCCGGGCTGGACCGAGGGGGTGGACCCGATGACCTGACCTCGGCCCGACCCGGGCCCGGGCCCCGCGCCGACACCGACACCGACACCACTCGTACCGTCAGTCGTTTGTTTTGTGTGTTTTTTTTTGTGGGGGGAAAATGCGGTGAATTCTCATCCCAAGAGGGTCGGAGGGCAAGTGGGGGAGAAGGGGGGGGGTGGTGGGGGAGGGGATGGGGCAATGGGGGTGGGGATGGGGGCGATGGTGGGGGTGGGGGTAGGAATGTGACCGAAGGAGGCGCGGTCCGAAGGGTAGGTGTTGAGACTGGGCTGGAATGAAGCCAGTGGGGGGGGGGGTGGGAGGGGGGTCTCTGGGTGGGGTTCCAGAGGGTGGATGGGGCCGGACCTCCGAAGGTGGGGCGGGGGCGGGGGGGCGGGCGGTCAGGGCGGAGGGGGGGGTGTGGCGTGTGGACGGTCGATTCGCTTTGCCGTAAATATCCCGTGAAGCGCTTCGGGACGTCTTGAAGGCGGCCGTCAGTATATACACATATATATATATATATATGTGTATGTATATACGTTGGTAAAGTTTCAATGGGCCGCCGGGGGGTGAGTCCGCGCTGTTATGCTCTTGAGGTAGAGCGAAGTAGAAGGCAGTCTCGCTCGCTCCCACGTGTCGCTCTGATGCGACTGAGTCGCAGTGACCGGGGCCGGGGTTTGTTTATTTCTTTCTTTCTTTTGTTACCAGGCTCGTCGCGCCGGGGCGTCATCCTCTGTGACGTTAACGGCGCCGCCTCGAGAGGCGAGCCTGTTCCTGGGGAACACGCGGCCGTTTGTTGGACGTTGCTGCTACATCTGCACGCCCCAGAGCTGGGTAAGCGTCTGTGTCCGTCCGGGGCAGCCGCGCGGGGCGCTTTGAGACGTCCTCCCGACTGCGTTCTGTACCAAAACAGCAGAACCACTGAGACAACAACAACAAGATTCCATTTATAAAGCGCCTTTCACGTCAGGAGGACGTCCCAAGGCGCTGCACAGTTGGGTCATGACCCGAGCAGCGGGGAAATGGTCAGGGGAGGGGAGGGGGCGAGGAGGGGGGAAATGGTCAGGGTGAGGGGAGGGAAGGGAGGGAGCGAGGAGGGGGAAGAGAGTCGAGAGGGGAGCTGAAGGCTCGGTCAAAGAGACAGGTAGAGGGGGCCAATTGCGCGCAGCAGAGTCCCACAAACAGCAGCCGTTCTGTCGCTGTGTTGTGTGCCCACGTTAGATGCTATGCTGTTGGTTCTCGGTTTCCTTGCATTGTCCTTCCCCCTGTGGTGCGTTCTTTGTGTTTCAGGGTTTGCTCTTCCACAACTACTTAACTTTACTGGGATTTCGAAACGCGATCCTCGTCACTGAGACCCACACGCGGTACGTTGAAAGATGCTGCTTGACGATTACAGGAGGTGGAATTATTTTTCACTGATTTAGAGAGGTTTTATTCTGTTTTCCTGATCCACAGTTCCTCCACCTCGCTCCCCTCCCTTGCCCCCTTCAAGACCCTCCTCTTCGACCACGCCTTCGGTCACCCTCTTACCCCTATCCTCCCTGCCCTCCACCCATCCTGATCCCAACCTGCAGTTCGGGAGCAAGTTCAGCGCCTTGGGACGTCCTCCCGACGTGAAAGGCACAGTATAAATGTAATTTGTTGTTGTAACAGACCTTGAACTAGAGATGTCAGGGCTTGGGTTGAATGAGTAGCGATGTATGTGCTATGACAATATCTGCCTCTGCAGGTACAGAGGATGGTTGGCTCGACGTCTCTCTTACTTTCTGTTTATCCGTGGGCGCACGGTTTACCCGGGCGATATCTGTGATCTGGAGGAGAAAATCATCAACAGCACCAGGTGAGAAGTGTCACATTGTGGTCTCTTCCTTGTCAATAAATATAATTGGGTCACTCAATCCACCACTGATGTGGGCCACTGCCGTGCGCAATTGGCTGCCGGGTTTCACCCCAAAACACACAGTCACACCACTTTACGGTGTATCCTGTGAAACGCTTTGAGACGTCTCAGCATCGCGATAAGGCGCTATATCAAATAGAAGGATTATTAATATTATTAATATAATTATTATTAATAACCTTTTCAATCCACTGTAACTGATTCTGTTTACCCAGAGTGCAAAAAGCCATTCAGGGGAGTTTGTCGAACCGACCTTCACCCGACCACAAGTCGATTCAGGAGGTGAAAAAGAAGGTGCAGAGAATTATGGACCAGATCAGAGCTGTGATCTCACCTCTCCTACTCCGGTAAGGGCTGGGTTTTACACTGAAGGATCTTGGTGGATTGGGTGGGTGGTTGGCCATGTGGGGAAGGGCAGATGAGCATCTGACTGGTTTCAGCAGCTTGTATTCCTATCATGTCTTCAAGGTGTCCCAAAGCGCTTCACAGAATATACTGTAAGGTGATTGACTGTATATTTTGTGGGCGAATTCCAGCTCGGGTTCAAACCCTTCACCACTGCTAATAATACCTCTCCTCCCCCACCCCTTTTGTGTTTGTGGGACACTGCTGTGGGCAATTGGCTGCCACGTTTCGCCCGCAAAACACACAGTCACTACACTTTACAATATATTCTGTGAAGCTCTTTGAGCCGTCTCAACAACGTGATAAGGAGCTGTATCAAATGCAAGGATTATTATATTAGTGTGTCGTTGTCGCTCTAGGCTGACTGGCTGGGTGCTGCTGAAGGTGTTTAACTGGATCTTTGTGAATCTGCAAGTGCACAGAGGGCAGCTGGAGATGTTGCGGAAAGCGAGAGCACAGGTAAGGCAGAGCGTCTTTGTGTGGGGGAACTGGTGCTATAGACGTCACCACACCTGGGAGAGACAAAGTGCTCTAGTTTGCTTGTGTGTTTGATACCGGTGACTGAGTCCTGAGAAATATTTGATGGGTGTTTAATTCAATGGGTGCCATTAATACTGTAACAGTAAAATGGAAGGTCATTACAGAGGTGAGAAATAAAATCATGTACTAAATTGAAACCAGCAAACTCAGACTCAAGACCCCCCCCCCTCTTTGACCGCGCTTTTGGTCACCCTCCTACTCCCACCCTCCCTGCTCTCCCTCCACCCTCCCTATCCTTCCCCCCTTCCCCCCTTCTGATCTCAACCCCCAGCTTGGGTTGAAATTCTTGACTGTCCAGCGCCTTGGGACGTCCTCACGATGTGAAAGGCGCCGTGTAAATGTAACGTGTGGTTGTTGTTGGCAGTATGGCGGCCCGTTCATATTTGTTCCAGTTCACAAATCCCGGCTGGACCGCCTCCTGGTTATCTTCATCTTGTTCTGTCACAGTGTGAGGGTCCGTACCTCACTGGCGGGGAAGACATCCGGCTCCCACTGCTCAGGTAAAGCAGTGGCTCTCAGCAAACACATTAACTGCTGTTTTTTGCGGCATTAACAGTCACTACACAGAAAGGGATACCCGCGTGTGTCGTGCCGAGAGATGTTTTGACGTAAGGCTCTTTAAGAGATTCAACTGTTGGGTCTAATTTGTGGCATTTCTTAACTGATTTGTGTAGGGTAGTCCCAGCTGGACATGCATCGGGACGGCGTATTGTGTGGGGGTCCAGCGATAGATTGTTGGAATGGAATGCGCAGTCTCTCCCTGGAGGGTCGCAATCTGTTTACCTAATTCTGGAAAGTATTAGGCGCAGGTTGGCGAGAGCCAAGGCTTGTGGGAAGCCAGAGTGTGTGTTGGGGTAACTGCTGGAGTCTAACCAGCTAAGACCACATAGCTTGCCGTTGTTATCATTGTCTGGCAAGATTTCCAGCTTGTCCAGCTAGGACCACCCTACCCATTGGGGCTTTGGCTTGCAGGGTTAACGGTAGCTGAGTGGGATGACTCCCTGCCCCCAGTGACTGGTCTGCCCTGGGAGCAGTGTGGAGTGAATAAGAAGTGCTGAAGATCTTGCTCAGCGGCCTGTCCAGATAAACTGGTGGGTTGTTTGACGTGGGTCCCAGATATGTTTCTGTAATCACCGAGCTCCTGACATCTCTGCAGCTCGAGAAACATTCAGCAGGAAACCTTCACAGGAAGCTTGCTTTTAACAGATGTGACCTAGTGCTCGGGACACCGACTAGTCACAGACACTGGGGAGCCCAGTTTCAGGAATTTCTGTAAGTGAGATGACACGATGCCTCTTCCCTGTCCCTGTCACCGCTCAGCCAGCAATGGGGTATGTAATTTGTAAGGAAACAATAACTTGCATTTATATAGCAGAATTAAATGATGATAATAATCGTTGCATTTGATACAGTACCTTTCAGGTCGTCGAAACGTCTCAAAGCGCTTCACAGAATATACTGTAAAGTGAATTGACTATTTTGAGGGTGAAACCCATGTACTGTATAGTGAATATACTGTAAAGTGAATTGATTGAATATTTTGTGGGCGAAAGGATTGTGCACCAGGACTGTTAGCAGGAAGGTGAGGAAATGGACACAGAGAACAGATTATTAAAAGTGGGTACAGAAACTCACCTCATTCTCTCTCTCTCTCAAATGACATCAGTCCCCACCCCCACCCCTCTTCTTCCAGACCTGCTCCCCTCTTAGGTCTATTGAGTTGGGGTAGATCTCTCCTGTGGCCAGTGCCTGGATCTGATATCAGTAACTGTTCAGTGTGATGTGATCTTTGGCTGCTCTTTGTTGGAACTTGTAGCTCACATTTGGCAGCACTTTGGTATGCAACATAGTTAGTGATGCCACAGCCATCTATCGCTGTGTCTGACACTGTGCGTTGGTCTCTCTCTCCCTCTTTTTTTGTTTCTACGCCAGATCTTTGCTTCGAAGGCTGGGAGGAATCTTCATTCCACAGATGGCAAAGGGAGCCAAGAGCAGCTACACAGAGGACCTTAACCAGGCTGTCCTAACCTCGGTTAGTTTTTGTGTGTGTGTGTGTGTGAATCAGAAAACCATCATAGCCAGCAGTGTCAGCTTGAGTCCAGCAGCAAGTGTGTGTGTGCGTGTGTATGGTGCTAGCCTTGGCCTGAGCTTGCTGGCTCCTCTGCCTCCTGGCTCTCGCTGTGGCTGATGTCATACACCACTGAGCCAAGCGAGATCTGCTTTTTTTTCTGCCCACCCGGGTGTCTGAAACACGCAGACGCCCATCACCATGCTTAACGGTCTCCAAGCCGAGCTGAGATTTCCAGCCATCCCACCTACACATGGAAATACCAGAGACAGATTGTTGGAATGGAATACGTACTCTCTCCCTTGAGGGACGCATCCAGCGTTCCTAATTCCGGAAAGTATTGGGTGCAAGTTGGCAAGAGCCAAGGCTTGGGGGAGCCCAGACTGTTTGTTGGGGTAACTGCTGAAGTTTAACCAACTAAAGCCACAAAGCTGGCCCATTGATATCGCTGCCGGGCACACTTTGCTCCCTCCGCTTTGCACCCTCCCTCTTCATTTTCAAATCACTTCTAAAAACCCACCTCTCTGACTGCCTCAGACCATCTCTCCCTCACCTCCTCCCTTATTCCATGAACAATTCTGTGAAAAACTCTGTGCGGGCGCGTGTGTGTATCTGTATATTTGTGCGCATCAAACCCACAAAAGCACCCTGGTGCAGAACGCTATCCAGCAAACGGTTCTGTCACTGACCTCTCTGCTCTCTGTGTTGCCTTTCTGTCTCTATCCCAGTACATTGAGGAGCTGCTGAGAGGACAGGAGAACCTGCAGCTCTACCTGGAAGAGGCTGTGCCCAGGTCTGTGCGTCCCTCTCTCACAGGCATGGTCTGGCTCACCTGTGTATTTAAAGCCTTTCAGTCCAAGGTTATACCAGATGCCGCTCTGGTGCCTGTGGGCATCTCATACGATCGTATCATCGAGGGAGGATGTTTGGAGCAGACGGTGAGAAATTTTGTTTGTGTGCGAACAGAATTAACAATGATGATAATAATCCTTGCATTTGATATACCGCCTTATCATTGTCGTCAAGATGTCCCAAAGCTCTTCATGGAATATACTGTACAGTATGCTGTAAATATACTGTATTTTGTGGGCAAAGCCAGTTGCGCACGGGTGTCCCACAAACAGTCGTGGATTGAGCGACCACATTTTTGGGGAGGGATTATTACCCTTGTAAAGTGATCCACCAATTGAAAAACTTACTGCGAGGTAAACGGGCGCGTGGAGCAATGAAACCTGCCTAAGGTTTTGCTCTGCCCAGGAATCGAACCCGGGTCCTCTCACTTGTGAGGCGAGTGCTCTAACCACTACACTGCGGGACTCCACAGTGTTACTAAATGCCTTGTTGTTGCAGGATCCTGACAGCATCAGCCTCTGGGCAGCTTTGTGTTGGATGTTAGGATTTGTGCGGAGGAGATACGGCTGTGTGCGGGTGGACTTTGGACAGCCCTTTTCACTGAAGGTTTGCACCGCACTGTGCCTGTCTGTAGCTCAGCACGGTTGTTGTATGTTGTGGGCGAGGCTGTGGCTTTAATGAAAATAGGTTTAACTGGCTTTTCCTCAGATGTTTCTCCTTATTGGTGTTGAGTTGAGTTTGGCTGTCATTACAGCGAGGCTCAGAGTAACCCTGTACATAACAACAACAACAAATGGCATTTACACGGTGCCTTTCATGTCAGGAGAACGTCCCAAGGTGCTGGGCAGTTGAGGGTTTGCACCCGAGCTGGGGGTTGGAGTCGAGACGGCTGGAGGCCAAGGGTGGGGGGTGGGTTAGGAAGGGGAGGGCAGCTGAACAGGTTAAGGCATGGGTGTAGGGTTTAAAGTTGAGAGTTGAACAAAACACCAAGGTTCTGCAGTGAGGTGTAGTGTGTATCACAATTAAATCTACAACAAACGAGCATGTGATTGATGCTCAGCCGAGCTACAAAAAGGCTTGTTTGGTGTCTGTGTGTTTGTGTGTGGGGGCAGAGGGGCAGCAAAGGTCTAGAGCTCTCATTAGTGTTATTCTCTCTCTCTGGTCCAGGATTACATTGAGAACGAAGGGATCCGCTTGCGCAGTTCTACACTGCCGCTGCGAGAGTTGTTATTGCCGTGCATGTTTGGCTCCAGGTGAGAGATGGCGGAATGGTTGCTGTGGGTGTGACTGAGGGAGTCAGATGTCTCCTGGGTTCGATTCCCGGGGATCTCAAAAGTGCTTTGAGATGTCCTCCCATCGTGAAAGGTGTATAAATGTAAATTGCAATGTGTGGCTGTAACGTCGGTTAGATTCTTGTGTTTAGAATTCAGCTGTTTAGGCCAATTGTAAAGGTTGCTCTTTCTCTGCCTAACTCAACCTCTGCTCTTTAATAAGCAGAGCCCTGTGTGTGTGTCTGACTGACTGTGTGGCTGTCTGACCGTCTGTCTGTCTTTTAGCTCGGACGCTGTGTACTACGAGAGATCTCAGGACTGGATTCTGACCGGGGAAGGACTGCCTCAGCTCGACAGGCGTCAGCAGCAGCTGGTGACGGGCCTGGGGAGACACCTGCTTTACAGTGAGCAGCAATCACAAAACAACAACAAATTACATTTGTATAGCGCCTTTCACATCAGGACGTCACTCTCGCACACCTCACAGAGAGGCTGTACTGAGCAGGTTATGAGATCTTGCAGCACGTGTCTGACCCAATACAACCAGCACAGAGTAGTTTGTCCATCTGGTTCAGTGCAGCATCGTGTATGTCGGGTACCTCTCAAGCTGCGATCTAGAGAGAGGCAACTGGCCTGTGGTGCAGTGGTTAGTGCGCTCGCCTTGTAAGTGACAGGACCCGGGTTTGATTCCTGGGTCTTGTATTTACACAGCGCCCTTCACGCAGGGCAGCATCTCAGAGCACTTAAACAGTGGTGGAGCCTGAGACCGAGCCAGGGAAAGCGCGGAGGTGAGCATAGGTGAACTAGTGCAGTAGAAGCCACTTTTGTAATTGTCCCCACACAGCGACTTAAAACATAAAGCTCCGTTTACATCGTGTTTCTCTGACTAATTTGCTGAAACCAGTTTGCCATGTCTTGTCACCCACAGCCGCTACTTCCTGTTCAGCCATCATGTCCACAACCATCATGGCAAGTCTCCTCCTACAAAAACACCGACAGGTAGGAACTTACTCCCGCTGCGCACCACAGCGTGATCCAGCCAACCCCGGCAAAGCGATCCGCCGATCAACTAACAGCCAGGTTCCTACTTACTGCTCGGTAAACGCATACGTGGGGTAATGAAACTTGCCTAAGGTCTTGCCCCAACTCTGCACGAGAGGACCCGAACCCAGGTCCTCGTGCAAGGTGAGCACTCTAACCATTACACTACAGGACTCCACAGCTAGTGGTTAGCGGTAGTTGCTGAGTTCACTGTGGTGATCACACCACCACTACATTGGTAGAGAGAGGAAATGAGCTCAGGCTTACCTGAGGGAGATGGTGACACCAGCCTCATATGGGGGGGGGGCCGGGGGGGTAAAAATTATACAATAGGGGTGCGGAGGGGTAAGAATGATGTTATAATGATAGTCGCCTTATTGGATTAGAGAGGCTGTCAGAACTGAATCTTCTGGGAAGAGTTTATATACAAATATATATATTTATTTAGATGAGTTTCAGTGTGTTGTGTAAACCTGTGTTAATTTGGCCGTGTTTCCCCGCAGGGCACTCTGCTCAGTGTTCTGGCCAGGGATTTCCAGTGGCTGACGGAGGAGGTGCTGGCCAGACACTTTGATGTGGGGTTTTCAGGGCAGCTGCGGGATGTGGTGCTGCACGCTCTCTATCTGCTGAGAGACTGCGTGACTCTCAGGAACTTCCCACTGAACGACCTGCTAGTGACACCGAAGCCCACGCGCAGGGCTGTGCGGGAGCTCAGTGTGTACAGCCGGGGAATCCTGCCCGTCTTTATATACGAGGCTGTTGCTGGTGAGTGGTTGCTGCTGCTCCTCATATAAGTAACCAGTTACTTCTCGCTTCCTTCAAGGCCTGTCTTAACACCTTCCTCTTTGACCGTGCCTTCAGTCATCTTCCCTCCTCCACTCCTCTTGACTCCAACCCCCAGCACGGGTGCAAACCCTTCACTGTCCAGCACCTTGGGACGTCTTCCTGACGTGAAAGGCGCTGTGTAAATGTAATTTGTTATTCTTACTGTAATCCAAGGTGTATTAAACTTGCTGTGATCTCCATGGCGCTTGCTCATTAACATTGGCTTCTCATGTTGTTTCAGCCTGTGCTCTGAACTCCCTTCTCAGACAAGTGGCTAACTGTGTGACTGACTGGGAGTCCAACATAGAGGTGGCGATTAGTCAGGAGGAGATCACCTTTAAGAGCATTCAGCTGTGTCACTTACTGCCCAGTGAGATACTGCTGCTCCCGGTAAGGACAGGCTCTGTGTGTATGTGACCTGAAGATCAAAGTCACTGCTCTTACCAATATTCACTCCACAACTGTTTGTGGGACACCACTGTGCGCAACTGACTGCCACGTTTTGCCCACAAGATACACAATCACTACACTTTGCAATATATCCTGTGAAGTACTTAAGAGACATCTCAATGATAAGGAGCTATATCAAATGCAACGATTTTTATTATAATAACACAGTTGGATTATTTGGTCTGTGGAATTTGGCTTGGGTTCTCTCACTGGGCAGTGCACTGGCTAATTTGTGACACCGGTAATTGCCCCCATGTTATTGCTGCGGTTGTTGGGCTGTGTTGAGTGACACGGACGCTGTTTTTTATCTCCTCAGCCTTGCAGGTCCACGTACCAGTTTGCCCAGGAGGCTGTGGACAAGCTTGCATACTGTGAGATCCTCGTCATGGAGGAGGTGAGTAAATAGGTCAGAGACAACAACGACAAATGACATTAACACGGTGCCTTTCACGTTGGGAGGATGTCCCAAGGCGCTGGACAGTTGGGGATTTGGATCCGAGCTGGGGATTGGGATCAGGAGGGGTGGAGGGCAGGGAGGGTGGGGGGGTAACCGAAGGTACGGTTGAGGAGGGTCTTGAGATAGATCTTGAAGAAGGTGAGGGAGGTGAGGTGAAGGGGCTGTGGGATGGAGTTCCAGAGGACGGGCAGAAAGGCTGAAGGCCCAACTATCGATGGTGGAGAGGGCCTTGAAGGAGGCAAAGGGAGGGGGAAAAAATCTATGTTCCTCCCTCAATTCCTCCTCACACAGCGGCTTTCAGCCTCTTCTCCGTGTCTCTTGTGACAGAATGAAAACAAACGGCCGGCCTGTGACATGTGGAACAGACGCTTTTCAAAGGAGCTGAGCTGGAAGGTCACAGAAGATTCTGATGACAGTGACAGCGACTGTGAGGCCGAGTTCTCTCAACGGTACTTCAAGGTGCAGACAGAAAGATATAATAATAATAATAATAATCCTTGATATTATTTGATACAGCGCCTTATCACGCCTTTGAGACATCTCAGAGCGCTTCACAGATTATACTGTAAAATGAATTGACTATTTTATGGGCAAAACGCGGCAGCCAATTGTGCACAGCATTGTCCTACACACAGTCGTGGATTGAGTGACCAAATCATTATTTAAATTTATTTTTGAAGGGGTTATTACCCCCAAAAATGATCTAACAATTTAACTGACTGCATGTGCGTGGAAACTTGCCTAAACTTTCGCCACCACCCGGGAATCGAACCCTCGCCTGTGAGGCGAGTGCGCTAACCTCTATGCTAAGGCACGTGACTATCACCAATCTCCCAAACGCTCCCAAGAATCAGTCTCACCGCTCCTTTCTGTACCATTGCCAAGGCTTGTTAATGCTTTCATGATACTACAGCTAAAGCTGAACACACCGAGTGTAGTCTCGAAGGTATTTACCAGAAGAACTCCAGGGAAACCTCCACGGACCGTACTCTCCTTACATATCCCAGCTCTCTGTTTGCAGTGTTGCCACGTTGTGCTTAACTTGCAAATGATGAGACTATCATCACTCTTAGGTCACTGTCTACATCTCTCCCTGAATCCAATCTCATTTATCGGCTGCTTACAATGCATTTTACATTAGATTACATTGCTGCTTTTCTCTGTAAATTCACAGCGGTTATAAATCTTTCAGCAACTCTCTGTCTGCATCTTCGCTGTTTGTTCTCTCTCATTGTTTTATTGTGTTTATTCACTGCTCACTCTCTCCCTCCCCCCCGCCCCTGTTCACTATTAAGAGCAACTGAGGTTGAAGCGCCCCAGTATAATACTCAGGAATAGTTTGGGCTTCCCCTGGTGGAAGAGGTTGGTTGAGCGCACATTTTCAGAGCAACAAGAAGCTAATAATAATCCTTGCATTTGATATAGTGCCTTATCACATCTTTGAGTCATCTCAAACATGTCCTAATCTGCTTAGACAACAACTTGCGTTCATGAGAAGAGCGCTATATAAATGCAAGTTATAACGTATCCCGGGATAATGGGTTCATCACTACCACCTGGGTCCTATCTGTTATTACTCTTCACACCCAGACTGTCAGGATGGTGCTTGACTTGTCCTTTTGATCACAGCTCGGCCAGTCCAGCGAGAGCCACGAGTGTTTCCTCTTCCTGTGCGCATTGCTGGAGCCAGTGATTAAAGCTTACGGGAGAGCAATGTGCTTCCTACAGCGGCTGGACAGCCCCAAACCAGGTAGGTACCTACCATCCCTGTGCTGTCTGAGCTCTGCCTCAATACCAGTTACAGTCTCAAGTACACAACAGGAGATAGACAGCGGGTGCCTATAAATTAGATTAAAGCAAGGAAAGCTCTCCTACACTGATTGGGAGTTAGTTCCCTGAGTCTATTCTCGGATTACCCATTGTAATGCTCCAGGGATGGGGAGTCCATCATGACAGGCAAGTTTAGGCCAAAAATCTGTAAGTAAGTCTTTATAAGAGATGGAAAAGCCAGGATTCACAGCTTTAATGGGAAGATGGTGAGGTGAGAGTTCTGGAAAGGTGATGTTAAATGGGTTGAACGTCCCTCTTCATCCACACCTCACAAACATGTCGAGCTGGGATCCTTTCAGTGTATGTGTGTTAGGTACTGATTAACCCTCCAAAGCCTTGAGGGGAAGGGGGGGAAGCAGCCGCTATGGTTTTGAACATGATCACCCCACTGAAGGGGGTCCTGAACCCATGTCCATACTGACTCCCCTTAACCTTCTCCAGTTCTGATTTGAAATGAATCGTGAATCCATTTGTGCAGTTGTCTGTTAGATGGAGAAAGTTCACAGGTTGAATGAACTTCACGTGGCTTGGTTTGCGGTTTCTCTTCCAGAGTCGGAGTTTGTGCTGGAACTGCAACAGTATTTGGAGACACAGGCAGAGGAACGGGGTGCATATGGTGAGTGAGTTAGTGAAACTGTTCCACAGACAACATTTTACTCTACTAGTAAAGGCTATAGTTGGCAGAGCATTGAGCCCTCAGTGACACTGCTCTGAGCTGTGAAATACTCAAGAGATCACAGTGGGATATAATTCCTTTATTCCAGACATCCAGTGTTACTCTGGAAAGCTGCAGATTTCTACCACTTCCAGGTTGTTGTTGTTTAAAAGCGTTGAGTATGTTGATCAGTGAAATCACCCACTTTCTGCTTTGTCGTACAGAAAGTGCCACGCTTGACCTGGCTCACAGCGCTGTCCGAACCTTCAAGGAGGTGGGGGTGAGTGTTCTGTCCTTGTGTAGAAAGTAACAAACTGTTCTTTGTGGGAAAAAGGAAGATGGAATAATCTCAGGGTTATTATCGAGGATGTGATCGTTCTGATTTCAGAGGCTGAAAGTCTATTACCATTGAATTATTCTTGCCTGAAGACCTTTCTCTTTGACTACGCCTACAGTCAACCTCCCCCCTCCCCCGGTTCAGCTCTGTGCTCCGCCACTGACAGGTGCCCTGAGACGCTGCCCTGTGTGACGGGCGCTGTGTAAATACAAATTGTTGATTATTTTTTAACTAACTAGATTAATAAATGAAGTATGAATTGGCGAATGTTCCACTGTAGATGGCGTTGTTTCTTTACAGATGTTAAATTTGATACACGTTGTACGTTGTACTTTCAATGCAGAAAAAACAAATCCCTCACCAACTAAATTTTTTTTTATTGATTGTTTTATTGATGTACATTGTTGTGCTGTTTAATCTCAGGTTCCCCGTCAGCACATCATCTGTTTTACATTTGATAAAAGATCATGTGTTTTTACCTTTGAGAAAAGTGGAAGTTGAAACATATATTTAAAAGCAGCTGAATAAATTCAGAACTCGCAGATTAAAAGTGATGAATATTTCATAAACTTTATCCTTTATTATATTTTTAACCCTTATCCATTCGTTGATGTGATTCAGGGCTTTGTGTTGCTGGGAGAATTAACTTTTTAAAAACGTATCGCCAAGAAGCTGAAAAATATATTTAATGCTCAGTTAAAATTTCTTTCATATTATAAATTACATTCCATGGATCTCTTGCACATAATAGAAAGAACTTTTGTATATCTTTTGTACAAAACAATAATCCTTTTGATTCAGCGCATTATCAGGTCGTTGAGACATCTCAAAGTACTTCACAGAATATACTGTAGAGTGACTATATTTTGTGAATGAATTTACATTTGAATTTAAGAACAAACTTTTAGTGTTAATCACAGCTTCTAGGCTGAGTGCAGCAGAAACCCTCTTTAGACTTGATGAAGAGAAGACTTTAGACTTAATCCAAGAGCTGGAGTAAACAGAAACCTTCTATGGAGTCGAGTGGAGTAGATGCCAGCCTCAAAATGTCCTGACATCAGGATTCTGAGGGTTTAGTCTCACAGATTTGTTATGGATTAGCTAAGAACAGCTTGTTGTTTCAGTTTAGCTGCAAATGGAGTGACAGTGAAGGATTTCTGATATTAATGATAGGTGTGGCTGTGTTTTATCCTTGGCCAAGGCACTGAGGCTTATTGAAAAAATCAGCTAACTCATCACAACCGAGGGATCAATGATGTCAAATCAATAGTCACTGCCATCTCCCTATGGGCTTTAGTATTTTCTATTGTTTTTTTTATGTTTTCTCGTTGCTCTAATCTGCTCTGGAGATTCTCCTACAGATAATTATAACCTGCCGGAGATGCCAATGAAGCACTTTTCTTTCCATTGCAGGTACTTCGAGAGGAGCCGGGTGTGACTGGGCCAGTGCTGGCGTTCAGTGACATCTTCCTACAGCCAGAGAACAGACAGACACTCCAAGACTACATTCAACAGTTTTCTTGTTAATCCCAAACAAAATGCGCTGCCTTCTTTCTCTCTCGTGTTTGAATCGGTTCAGAGCAGGTATGTTTTTGGGTTCTTGGTCTCGTCACGCAGTCAGGAGGCTTTGAACCCTCGATCTCTCATGAATGGACTTTGTCATAAGAACATAAGAATTTGCTGGCAAAAGACCAAGGTCCATCCAGTTTGTCTTCCACCATCCTGCAGTCGTGTCCCAAACTCTATGTGTATTGTATTCTCATGTTGGGGCAGGACGTGAGCCACAATCCCCTTTCTCCTGTTGTGTTCAAGTGACTGTTTTGCACCTACCGCAGCTTGGCTGGCTGGCAGGAACACAAACCAGCCCTGTTGTGGTGAGGAGGCTTTTTTGCATTAGATTATGTGACTTGGACAAAAAGAAGGGAGTGTTGGGCGGAAACATCAGCAGCCAATTTACTCTGATATTGCACATTAATGTTTAAGTTTAAACTTTGCTTTTTGTATCTTTTGAAATGTCTCAGCACTTGAATAAAGCAAAATCAGTGACCACATCAACTCATATCTCATTCCTTCATGGCGATATTTACAGTATAGCTACAGAGTCCCAGTTTGTGCCGGTTTACAGATCTGTGGTGTTAGATACATTCGCCTACAGGTAGTTTGCGAGCAGCTTATGTAAGGAGACCTCAGGATCTCAGGACACAGTCTGCCGGAGATGATGCCTCGCTTGCCTCAGTTTACTTTTAATGACTAAAATTACATTGTCACCTTTTATTGGAAAGGGTAATAAACAGCCGGGCAACATCACCATTGACAGCAAAAGTCTGTCGTGGTATTAATATCAACCGTATTTTAAGAGAAGGATGGATTACCTCGATCGATGAGGAACGATCTGCAGTGAGCTCTGGCACAATGACAGAGAGACATTTATTTCTCCACAAACAGAGTTTATGGTGATAAATCACTGCACAGTTCCAGTATACGCCTGAATGCTTTAGTTTGTTCTGACCATTAAAGGTTTTAATTATTAATCAAAGTTGGATCTTCAGACTGATCAAGGTCCGTGCAGCTCAATGCTGACAAGTTGGCCTCTGTTGCTGCCTGAACTGGAAGATTGCAACAACAACAACTTGCATTTACACAGCACCCCTCACACAGGGTAGTGTCCCAGAACGCTTGGTCAGTGGTGGAGCACGACACAGAGCCAGGAAGAGGTGACCATAGGCACAGTCAAAGAGGAAGGTCTTCAGGCACGACCTGAAGATGGGGAAGGGGGCAACGCAGAGGGATAGAGGCATGTTACAGAGTTTCGGCCCATAGTGGCTGAAAGTGCAGCCACTGATGGTGGAACGGAGGGCACAAGGGACAAGCAGGAGGCTGGAGCTGGTTGAGTGGAGGGAGTGGGTAGTGGGTTGAGGAGTGAGCAGGTCGGAGAGGTAGGTGTTGTCTCAAAGTATTTTCACAAGAAAGGCAAACTAATATAAAAGTAATCCTTGCTTTTGATATAGCACTTCATTGAGACATCTCGAAGCACTTCACAGAATGTATTATAAAGTGAAGTGACTGTACTCTGTGGACGAAACACAGCAGCCTTCACACACGCACAGCAGCGTCCCCACAAACAGTCGTGGATTGAGTGACCAAATTATTAATTCTGATTATCAAAAAAAATCTACCTTGTGTGAAAGGTTCAGAATCACAGCTCAGCCTAAACGACAGTGTTCCGCAGGGTCCCAATCTCATCGATCTCACATTCCACTGTGTCGCCGCGCTGCAGAAATCAACAACAACAACTTCACACGAGGCAGCGTCTCTGAGCGCTGAATTAAACAGCATTTTCAGAGGTAGTGAGTTTTTTGGAACAAACATTGATAAAATAAGTTGAATTGAGAGCATTTGAGGGCAAAGGTTTAGACCACTTACCCGCAAAAACACAGGCGGTTTCCTAAATACTCCGACTCCAGATGGAGTTCCAGTTAAAACCACATCTCCGGGATACAGGGTCACAAACCTGGTGGGATTGGAATAAAACGCTGTCATTAGTGACAGAAAACAAAATAAACTGTGGGTGATCGTGTGAACCTCAGAGTGAGCACAAACTGTTTATATTGTGGTTTCACTGACAGGAATAGATGGTTCCTCGTGGATCATGGAGTCCTGTAGCATATTAGTTAGAGCACTCGCCTCGCAAGCGAGGACCTGGGTTCGATTCCCGGGCTGGGCAGACCTTAGACAAGCTTCTTTACCCCACACACCTCTGTTTACCTAGCAGTAAGTAGGAACCTGATTGTCAGTTGATAGGCGGATCACTTTTCTGGGGGAAATAATCTGTTCAAAAAAATACTAATTTGGTCACTCAATCCACGACCGGAGGATTATTCAGAGACGGCAATAACAGAAACACACCAGTGTAATTGCAGCCTGGCTTCAGATGAGTGGATTTGGGGGATTGTATATTTACGTTCTCACAGTTATTGCCAAGTCACGTTGTAACACGGGTTAAGACCTAGAATTCTCATGGGGGAGTGAAGTGGGTGGCGGGGAAAGGAAAGGACATTTAGATGCCAGACAGACAACGATTCCTCCCCACAGCAAAGGAGGAGCAGCGACAATATATAACATCTGTCCGGTTAGATTAAAGCCAATCTCCATTCTCTGCAATTGCACCCAACCTGCCTAGGGTTTGGGCCCAAAGTAGCACAAGATCAAGTCAATCGAAGTATTAAGACTCACTGTGAGATCCAGACGACCAGAGCCTCGGTATTAAAGATCAGCTGGTTGGTGTTGCTGTCCTGCATGACTTTCCCATTGACCCGACAGCGGATACCCAGATTGTGAGGGTCTGAAACACAGACGGAGTTTGTTTACCTCTGGTCCTTCAGTCCTTAAGACAAACCCGAAGACTAATCCCTTGAAATGATAATAATAATTCGTTCACTCAATCCACGACTGTTTGTGGGACGCTGCTGTGCGCAATTCACTGCTGCGTTTCACCAGTCAATTCACTTTTTAGTATATTCTGTGAACCCCTTTGAGGCATCTCAACAACGTGATAAGGCGCTGCATCAAATGCAAGGATTATTATTATGATGAATTGGCCCCTCAAGGCATCCAAGAAAACATTGACTTAGACACTGAGTAACAGGGACCTGTTACAGAGAATGCATCTGTGTACTTTACACAGAGATTTAATGACACGAATCATGAGAACAAAGGAGTGAAGTTATCAAAACCCAGAGTCAGACTTGCAGAGGGCAGGTTGACGCCAAGCCTAAGCCTGAAGGTTTAATTATACACATTATCTTACTGATTGCAAAGCAATAAATAATAATTAACCGGTTATGCTTGCTGATTGTAGTAAAGTCTGTGTGATGGTAGTGAAGAGCATAGATATGAGAACTATGGCATAGGAACAGGAATTTGAGATTTTTTTCACAATTCTGTGGAATCTTAATTTTTTAAAGACAGCAAATTCCTAAACTGCAGGTTTAATTTGGGGGCCTGTTTTGTGCAGTTGAAACCTACCTCCAAATATTTCATATCGTAAGTATTAAAATAATGAGGTATTTTGAGTATTTGGTCAGATCAGGAATGGGCTTGTCAGTCATAGCAAATAGCTTGACAATACTTCTGACCTGCCTGGAAATCAGATAAACACTGGTCAAGTCCTTTGAAAACTGTAGTAATAATAATAATCCTTGCATTTGATATCACGCCTTATCACGTCATTGAGACGTCTCAAAGCGCTTCACAGAATATACTGTAAAGTGAATTGACTGTAATATTTTGTGGGCGAAACTTGGAAGGTAGAATGCAGCACTAAATTAAATTTATCAGGAATATGGAATTAATATTATTCCTAGAATGGTGTAATTCCCTGAGGCTAATTGCTTCTAGCAGGAATATAATACAACAGATTTACATTGATACAGCATCTTTATACTTTATATGTTTCCCTCCAAGAGGAATGTGCCTCTCCTGACTGCACACTGTGATCTCAGTACCTGAGATGGCATCTTTTGTGACCAGGGCAGGTCCCAGTGGACAGAACGTGTCGAAGGTTTTGCCCAGTAGCCACTGCTTGCCGTTCCTCTTCAGCTGCCAGTCTCGGGCACTGACGTCATGAGCAACTGTGTAGCCAGCCACGTGATCCATGGCCTCTTCTCTCTGAATTAGAAAAGGATGTTTACTGCTGATCGCTTACCACTGACACTGCAACACCAGATTCCCCCACCCACCTCCACTGACCAGCAAAGGGAAAATACTACATGAAGATCTCACACCCAAGAATCCAAGGATATTTACCAAATAAGAATAATTGTAGAAATAGATCTTTGTTTCTGTTTTTTATTTTAGAATCCCCCCCACACTCCCTGCTGACACTTGCTGGCTGTTTCTCATTCTCCAGTGCCTCACTCAGTGCCCATACTCTAGCAGGGCCTTTAATCCAAACTATTTACTCCACTACCCGCTGCCTCCTCTTGACTGGCTCCGGCCTCCTGCTTGTCCCTCGTGCCCTCCGTTCCACCACCGTAGGCTATGCTTTCAGCCACTTCGCCCCGTGACTCTGGAATTCTTTCTCTATCCCTCTGCCTTGCTCCCCTCCTTTCCCATCTTCAGGTCACGACTGAAGACCTTCCTCTTCGACCGTGCCTACAGTCATCTCCCACGCCTCTGGGTCGAGCTCCGCTACTGTCTAGCGCTCTGGGCCGCTGCCCTGAGTGAGGGGTGCTGTATAATTGCAAATTGTTGTTGTTCTGGGATTTGTACATCTCCATATCAATCAAGCGTAAATGGAGTTTATGAGACTTGTCGTTAAACAAGGTATAGAATACAGCAATGTTCCAGTGAGTTATGTAGGCAGCCAGTTTGAGCGTTAAAGATCCCACAAAAAATGCTGTGCCAAATCTTGCAGAGGAGGTAAATGCTGAACATAAGAATTGTGTCCCACACATCTGGTCTCCTCATTCTCTCAACGTAAATCTCCAGCATTACCCACATAAAAGGGAATGAATATTCCATCTGGTAATAAGTTCAGACCTTAATGTGTTTCCCCTTCTTGCCAATCACAAACGCCAACTCCACCTCCCAGTCCACTTCCTGTCGGAGCAGAGTCAGACATAAGTTACAGATTTTTTCCACACATAGAATACAATCCTTGCATTTGATAATACAATCTCAATATTTCAGAGTTTTTAACTATAGTGTAGTTGCTGTGCATTTTTTTTAAACAAATACAGTGGCTAATTTGTACACAGCAATGTCCTACAAACAGCCATGAACTGAATGATTAATTTATTATAATAATAAACCCTGCATTTGATATAGAGCTTTATCAGGTTGTTGAGACGTCTCAAAGTACTTCACAGAATATACTATAAAGTGGAGTGACTATGTATTTTGTGCACGAAACATGGCAGCTAATTGTGCACAGCAATGTCCCACATACAGCCTTGATTTTAATTTTTTTTGAAGGGATTACCCCCGGAAAGCAATCTGCCAATTAAGTGACATCCGGGTTCCTGCTTACTGCTTAGTAAATAGAGGCGTATGTGTGAGGTAACAAAACTTGCCTAATGTTTAGCCCAGACCTGCTGCAGGAGTCAAACCCAGGTCTTCTCGCTTGCGAGTGTTTGTCTATCTATAATACATATACTGTACAGCATGGAAAGAGAGCATTCGGCCCAATTGGTCCTTGCCGGCGTTTACACTCCACATGAGTCTCTCTTTATAGAAAGATACACTTGTTATATCGGGTTCCTTTGACTGCAATACACATTAAGGTCACAAAATAATTACGTTGCTCTCCGCTGGATGGATGATGTCACTGTAGGGCCCCACAATGGAGCTGCCAAATTTACTGAAAATAACTGGTTCCTTCGGCAGAGGCACATTCTGCTCCTGGCAGTGATCCAGGTAGTTCATGCCCACACAGACCACCTTGTCCGGGTTCGTTACCGGTGACAAGAACGTTACCTCTGACCGGCTCAGAGTGACCGTTCTACAATTCACTGCTCTGTTGAGAGAAAAAAACAGACACTGGTTCTTGGCAGAGTCCAAGATTCCTGGGAAGAAATAATAATAATAATCCTTGCATTTGATATAGCGCTTTTCATGTCTTCTCGACGTCTCAAAGCGCTTCACAGAATATGCTGTAAAGTGAATTGACTGTATGCATATTTATGGGCGAAACGCGGCAGCCAATTGCGTACAGCAATGTCCCACAAACAGTAGCGGATTGAAAATGACCAATTTATTATTGTTGTTGGTTTTGGAGGATTATTATTAGGCTCTGTGTGGAGTAAGGAAACTTGCCCAAGGTTTCGCCCTGACTGGAATTGAACTCAGGTGTCTCGCTTGCAAGGCGAGTGCTCTAACCACTGAGCTACAGGACTCCACGTGGCTCAAATGGCTTTGAGCCACTGCAAGTTCACAAAATACTGAGCAATGATTCAGTACGTAAGAATTACCAGGCGAAAGAAAACCAAGGTCCATCCAGTTTGCCTTCCACCATCCTCACATGTCATGTCCAAAACTATATACTGTATCCCAAAATATTATTTCCGAACAGAAATCTATCTATTTTGTTCTTGAAAGAATTGGCAATTTTTACTCCGAACATTTGCCGAGGGAGTCTGTCCCATACGTTTACTTCTCGCTCACTGAAGTAGTGTTTTCGCAAGTTTGTCCTGAATTCACCCCACTTCAATCGTAGGCCGTGTCCTCCGGTTCTACTGGTCTGATTGGACAAGCTCTTCAGTTTTGGGAGAAGGTAAGCATATCACAGCGTCCGTTTAAAACATGCTGGAATAATTGCTCATATCTTGTACACTGCACCATTGCCACTCATACTGCCATTACAATCAGCCCATAAAAGAAGCGGCTGTTAGTGCAAGACACAATGATCAGGGCAACGAAGCAAGACAGTGCAGCGAGAGCTCAAGCCCTGTGTTGCTGTTACTTTCACACACACCCACCAATCCCGAAAACAACGAATGGACATCCACAGCACTTCTCAGTGACGAATTTCACCTTCTGGCTGATGCCATGGCAGCCTCTCCCTTCTCCAGAAACTCCCTCATGGTCCTGGGCAGCGAGCTGTCCAACCAATTTAGGTCGACGACGTTCCCTCCGTCCTTCTCCTCCACTCCCACTCTCACCCCGTCCTGCTCCCTCGCGGTGCGGAACTGGACGAGCCTCATCCCTCTCTCCCCGGACGGCGACAGGGGCCGCGCTTGGAAATGGCCCGCGGGCTTCGGCCCAGCGCCCCCCGACCGCCCAGCGCGGAGCAGGCGGAGGAGAAGCGGCGCTGCGCCCACCCGGACCTGCATGTGAGCGAACGCCGCCGCTGAACGGCGAAGGGGGAGAGAGAGAGAAAAAAAAGTCACGGCAAGACAACTTGGACTTGTAGTGCAGCGGCAAGTGACCCTCGCGCTTGCTCTACGACGACGACGACAACTTGCGTTTATGAAGCGCCCTTCACCCCGGGGGGGGGGGTGGGGGGGGTGGGCTTGAGGGGGGGGAGGGGGTGAGGGGGAGCGTCCGGGAGAGCTTCGCAGCGGCGGCGTCTGACACGCGCCCTCTTGCGAGAGCGCGCGGCCGGCGCTCACAATAATAATAATAAATAATAATAATAATAAATAATAATAATAATTACACGCGCTCACTGCCGGGTACACGGATTGGGGGGGGTGGGGGTGGGGGGCAAAGGGGGGGGGGGGGGAACCGGGGCTTAGTTGGGGTCGACTTACAGGTTCAGCCCTAAAAGGGGCGGAACGGGCTGGAGGGGCTGAATGGCCTCCTCCTGTTCCCATGGCCCGGCCCCGGTGACCTTGCTGAGGGGGGGGAGGGGGAGGGGGGGTGGGCAGGGGGGAGGGGGCCTTCGACGACCCAACGCTGTCCCCGTCCCCCACCATTTTGAAACGGTTAACGGTCGGTCACCTCGAGGCCCCGGTCAACCGCCGCTTTCCAACCGCCACTGCCCGGCAACGGCCGCTCGCTCGCGCGCTCCTCCCCCCCTCCCTCCCTCCCTCCCGCCTCCAACCCGCGATTGACAGCCAGCCCCATCCAATCGCAGCAAGCTTCCGGCACCGGCGGCCGGCCAATCGCAGCGGAGGCCGCTCACTCGAGCCAATCAGGAGGGGGGAGGGGCGGGCTCTGCGCTGCGAACAGCCAATCGTGAGCAGCGCTGGACCGGGACTGACGGTGCGAACTGCCAATCCTGAGCGGCGTAGTGGGGGGGCGGGTGGTCGGTGTGGGCGGGACCTACGGGCAGTTCAGGTGGGTTCGCTCGAGCGGTGACAGTTGGTGACGGCGCGCGGCGTGAGGGCGGTCGGAGGTGAGGAGGCGCGATGGTGCCGCCCGGTGTTCACAGGTGGGTGAGGGTGAGGGTCAGGTCCTCGGGGGGTGTGGGGGGGATCGTGACGGACCGGAGAGCCCCGGAGCCGAGGTGTCGGTGTGGGGGGGGGTTCACCGTCGCTGACTATGAGGCAAACTCGTTTTCGTGGCGACCGCGAAAAGAAATGCACAGTCACTACACTGTCCCGTATGTTCCCGCGAAGCGCCTGGAGGCGCCTTCGACGACGTGACAGGCCGCTGGTGTTAGATGCAGTGATTATTATTATTATTATTATTACTATTACGATGATGATGATGATGATTAAGGTACTTGACAGTTATTATTATTATTGCAGTGGGATTTTTATTTAGTCTAAATGCTGCTTTTTTTTGACCAGAAGCAGGTCTGATAATAATAAATAATAATAATAATAATAATAATAATAATAATAATCCTTGCATTTGATATAGCGCTTTTCACGTCGGGAGGACGTCCCAAAGCGCTTCACAGAACACACTGTAAAGTGAATTGACTGTATATTTGTGGGCGAACGCGGCAGCCAATTGCGCACAGCAATGTCCCACAAACAGTCGTAGATTGAAAATGACCAATTTATTATTGTTTTTGGTTTTGGAGGGATTATTATTAGGCTCTGTGTGGAGTAAGGAAACTTGCCCGAGGTTTCGCCCTCTGCCTGGAATTGAACTCAGGTCTCTCACTTGCAAAGCGAGTGCTCTAACCACTGATCCCTCCTGTGATAATAAAAATAATAATAATAATAATGATGATGATGATGATTGGGTCTGACGCTGCGGCCCGTCACGCCAGTCAGCGCCTTGGGACGTCCTCCTGACGTGAAAGGCGCTTTATAAATGGAATCTTGTTGTTGTTGTTGTTGTCGAGGCGTCCCGAGGCGCTGCGCGGGCTGCACCGCGGCGGTGAATTGGAGGAAGGAGCCGGTTCCTCCCGGTCGGGTGGAAACCGCAGGGCTCTCCACGTGTTCGTGCACGCGACGACACGTGGGGTTAGAAGCCCGGCTTCGCTTCCAGTCGAGCGACTCTTGCGACAGAGCCCGCGGTTAGCGCACACTTCGCGCGAGTCAGAGGTCAAACGTAATATATAATATATATAATATGTATAAACCAAAAACAATAATAAATTGGTCATTTTCAATCCACGACTGTTTGTGGGACATTGCTGTGCGCAATTGGCTGCCGCGTTCGCCCACAAATATACAGTCAATTCACTTTACAGTGTGTTCTGTGAAGCGCTTTGGGACGTCCTCCCGACGTGAAAAGCGCTATATCAAATGCGAGGATTATTATTATTATTAGTATATATATGTGTGTGAGCAGCGCACGTGGATCTAGAATTGCAAAGTTAGCGAAACTAAACTGCACTGCGCTCTAACCACTGAGCTGCAGGACCCCTCCTCTTACCCTCCTTACACAGGGCAGCCACAAGTTAGTTATTAAATCTCACTTCATTTGTCAACCAGGCGATCCTGCACTGATGAGATCGGACTGCGGTGTGGTTTAGTTTAGTTTGCTCACTTTGCAATGCTAGATCCATGGGTGGCCAAATGTGCACTGTATTACGTTTACATTTTTGTGGCGATTTCATAATAATACATAGACGATCGAATCTCCCGGGGCTCAGAGTTCAGTCATGCGCTTATTTTATCTGATTTTTTTTTAACAAAATTCAATTTTCTTATCAGATGTCCTTTGAGAAGTGGGATCATAAAGTAATTAACTCGAATTGCAAATCTGGCACTTTCTGTTCTATCTTCAATAACAGCTGAGTAGCAGCTATCGTGCAGCTACTAATAGCGAAACTTGGTCTTGATGTATAGTCATTGTACAATATTAGATCCTTTACTAATTGCTGGTCACAGAGTTCCTCTACGGGTTTGGCCCAACAATAAAATTTTTGTGACTGTTTCTGCTATTGTAGTAGGAATAAACTTTAGACTAGGAATAAGAATAAGAATCACAAGCCCTCAAATAATTACAAAACAAGGAGAAATTGTTTGCTTTTGCTATAATTAATAATAATAATAATCCTTGCATTTGATATAGCTCTTTATCCTTTTGCCCACAAAGTATACAGTCAACTCGCTTTGCAGTGTATTCTGTGAAGTGCTTTGAGACGTCTCGACAACGTGATAAGACGCTATATCAAATGCAAGGATTATTATTATCATTTTTAATTCTGCTCGCACACAAACTAAGTATTATTATTATCACGTCATTGGATGTTTCAAAGTGCTTCACAGAATATATTATCAAGTGGATTGGCTGCATTGATCTTTCCATATTGTTTGCTTTAGGTAAAGGATTCCATTAGGTATATAATACGGGCGGTGACAAATGCCCATCTCACAATCTTAAGCAAAGAGAGTGGGAATCTTGAAAGCCGATGCTCTGTGTGTTCACCATTTTAAAACTTTTTAAAAAATGTTTCCTTTCAGAATCCCGGAAGTTGTATTCACAACACAATTACAAAGCAAACTGTGAGTATGACGTTCTTAATGGCAGACGGCAAGCTCTGCGGTTTTAACTGGTTAGATTCCAACAGTACCCCAACGCACACTCTGGGCACCTCAAGCCTTGGCTCTTGTCAACCTGCGCCTAATACTTTCCGGAATTAGGTAAGCAGGAAGAGAGAGCGCATTCCATTCCAACAATCTATCTCTGGGATTTGCATCTGTAAGTGGGATGCAAGCAAATTTGGTTTGAATACCCTTAAGCAATGGTGTTGGGTTTCAGACACCCGGCTGACCCCACCCAAAAAAGGAGTTCTACTTTTATCCAAAGACATAGATAAGCAAGCCTTTGTGAGAATCAATGAAATTTGGAGGGGAAACTTGCCAGTTTAGTTGGAAGAACAGCCTGTATGTCTGTAAGATATCCTGATGAAACTTTGTCCCAAGTACTATATTGTTGAAGTTTAATAATGTAACTGGAACATATATGGGAGTAGTATGGGTAGATTTTATTTTACACTCTGAATTCTGTTTGAAACACCCCAAGACAATGAACAAGTTAAACCATCATAAGTTGTCTTGAACTGACCTGACGCATATCCTATTTGATATCCAATAAATACTGAGCAAATCATATAGGCCCTCTTGCTCTCCCTGTCTTCCCCTCTGAGACAAGGTAAGTACAATTTTAAACCATGCTTTGTCTTCTTTCAGGAGTTTTGATGGCGTTGTCTTAGTAACCGACTCTGTTGAAAAGCTGCCTAGAGATTTGGAAAGTTTGAAAGCTCCTCTCAGTCAGTATAAATCTGTAAGTAATATGGACAAATTATTTATTTTGTGCTTTTTCTAACTTGCAGAACTCGTTTCTATCATATTTGTCTAAAATTTTACATTTAAACAACAAACAAATTACAAATTTTTATAATGCCTTTCACGTCGGGAGAATATTCCAGGGCGTTGGACATCCAGGGATTTGGACCCGAGCTGGGGGTTGGGATCAGGAGAGGTGGAGAGCAGGGAGGGTGGGGTAGGAGAGTGACCGAAGGCGCGGTCAAAGAGAATGGTCTTGAGCCGTGCCTTGAAGGAGGCAAGGGAGGGGGCGAGGTGAAGAGACTGTGGGATGGCATTCCAGAGGGGGGAGCAGAGAGGCTGAAGGCCCACCCGCCGATGGCACTCAAGATGTTAAAGATGTTCACCAAAGCCAGGGAGTCTGAGATTTTAGTTGAAGGCAGAGAGGAAGGTAGTGAGGTAAAGTGGTTGTGGAAACTTTTCAAAGAACGTGAGCAATATGGCTCCTGTTCTTTGAAAGGATGAGGGTTTAATACTGTACCATGACTCCAAAATAGTTACAGAAACCCAACGTTTCAGTGGGTTGAGTGGGAGCACTACAGCATTTGTTTCTATTGTAGCCAGTGCTATCACACATGCCCGCGCCTTCTAAGTGCTGGTATTAAAACCTGTAACAGTGCCAAATTTCCATTTCCATTGTTTTGTAAGAATTATTCTGGAACCATTTTGAGACAACTTTTTTCCCCTACAAAGTACCCTCGTGATTCAAACCTCATCATGGTGAGAAAAGAAGGCATTTGCTAAAGTAGGTTAAAGTGGTTGATATGCTGAGCTGGCTTAAGACAGAATTGTACAGTCCTATTCACTTCTCTATGGAATCCTTAAGATGTGGAAATATAACACAGGTTGTGTCAGTCCGGGTCAATGGTAGCGCTCTCGCCTCTTGAGTCAGAAGGTTGTGGGTTCTGGGTGCTGTGTGCAAATTGGCTGCTGTGTTTGCCCACAAATACACAATCCCTTCACTTTCTATAAAGCACTTTGGGATGTCCTCTTGTCATGAAAGGCAAATGCAATTATCATTATTATTTTTGTTATCATAACCAAACGCTAGATTGTGCTTGTGGGTAAACGTACAGGAATCTCTGTATGGTAGTCTTGAGATTTTCTGTTTGGCTGGGATTTTGTCACATCTATTTTTAAGGCCACTTCACTTCAGGCATTTGCTGGCAAGAAGCCCGGTATTCTGACAATTGCTGATTATTTGTGAATGCTTAGAGGGCTGTTTTTTGCTACTTTCCTTTTAATCTAAGTATCCGTTTCAGAGATATTCAGAGAGCTCTCGGCTCAACGTGCTGAGTGTAAGTAGTAGCTGTGATGATGATGGAATTCTGGTCTTTCAGATTGATTTAGCGGCGGAAAAGGAAGTGGTCTTGATCCATGCTGCTGTTTTTCCAGGAGCCAGACTGGTGAGTGAGGTTTCTGTCTTGTATTAAAGGAATTTCATCCTGACAGCAGGTTTGTAGTTACTAGTGAGAAAGCGCTATATCAAATGCAAGGATTATTATTATTTTTGTAGGTGACATTAAACTCAGCTTGTATTCCGCAACAACTGCTGTTAACTGCTGGATAGACTAGGGGTGAAATACCCTTGTTAGTTGCACCATCTGCTTTTGTTAGTTATTTACCTAACATTTTCTTCCTGCAGATCTTTGCTCCAACGGGCCCTTTGAACAGAGACTACGATGATGTGCGGAGATACGGTGATGCAGCTGTCAGTGGCATCAAACGGTATGTGGAATTTGGTCAAATTTTGATCTCAGCGTTTGTTAAACCGTATCCAAGCCTTACTTCTCTTTGTGTGTTTGTGTTCCCTAGTGCTCTGAAGGCCGGTATGGTGAAGCCCCTTCTGGTCTGTTGTCCTGATCCAGCTTTTAAGGAAGCTGCTTTGGTAACCTTGCTTGGAGCTCTACATGCAACGTATACGGTACGTTTTCTATTCTCTCATTTAAATGGTGCTTCTTGTCAGCAATGACAATAAACGTGGGCTTACATTTCACTGTTGTTGCTACCACTGCTGTCATATCCAGGACTGGTTCTGCACTGACCGACATGACAATCGAACTATGCAAAACTGCAAACAGTCTGTCACCCAGATCATCACCTTCTGCCCCCAGTTCATCCCCACTGCCGCTCAAAGCCTTATCTGTGCATTTATATCATGAAGGATGCATCATCTGGCACTCCCCTCGCTGGCCTCCCGCTCCTCTCTCCAAAAGCTTCAACTGATCCTGAAGGTATCAGCTTGGCTCAGTTGGTGGTACTCTTGCCCCTGAGTCAGAAAATTTTAGATTCAAGCCCCATCTTGACCCACAGTCTAGGCTGACTGTCCAAGACAGTGCTAGTGGAGCCCTGGAGTGTTGGAGTGCTGCACTTGCTGAAACAATAACAGTTGAGGTAAAATGCTATCGTGAAATGGAGCATTTCATCTACCCAACTGAGCTGACAAAACTGAAGGCCACAAAGATTTATTAGAGAGAAATCTTGCTTGTTTGTTTAACTAATTCTGAGGTGATTTTCTTCCGTAGCCTTTGGAGGTTCGTGAGGCATTCCCAGAGAAGTCCACTAAAGTAGACCAACTGGGAGTATGGGCATCATCCGAGGCAGAAGGAAAGAAGTTGGTACAGCTGGCAATGGCATTGGAGAGTGGCAGGTAAGAGCTGTAGGGTTCCTGTCAGGCTAATTGTTGTTGTCTACCAGGAGAGAGAAACTGTAGATTACTGTTTCTCTAGGTCAGGGTAGTCCAACTGACTGGCCACGGGCTGATTTCATCTGCCCCCCCAACTCCATTTCATCTGGCCCACCCGCTCCCTCCATAACTCGTAAAAGGCATGTTATGTTTCTGGAAGGGAAACGTAAACATATTGCTTATGCAGCCCGTGGACATTTCTTAAATAGGGCATTCGGCCCTCAGCAGCCAAAAGTTGCACCTCGCTTACTGTAGGTCAAGTGAAGTGTCACGTTAAATAGAAGTAACTAATCTCATCAACGGAATAGGCCAAGTTTGGAAAGGATAGGGATTAATGCAAAGGACAGTTGATCTTTAAAGCTTGATAATTTAATTCAGCTTTTAATGCATTCAATTGATTTGCTCACTGCATGCTCCGATACTGTCAAAGCTTCTGCTGAATGCATTTCCTTGGGGTGTGAAGTCATGTGTTGTCTTGTTAGGGCTGTTTGCCGAGATATTGGTGGATCTGATCCAGAGCGAATGGCACCTCCAAAGGTGGCCGACTATGTGCAAAGTGTTTTTGCGAATTCAGTTGTCTCTGTAAGTACATCATTGCTTATTCTTGTCTGCCAGTACTTTTTTTAAAAAAAAAACTAGCTCTAGTTTTCTTCAATATGGAATCGTGGAGTTTTGTAGCGTAGTGGTTAGAGCACTCGCCTCGCAACAAGAGGACCTGGGTTCGATTCCCGGGTCAGGACGAAACATTAGGCAAGTTTCCTTACTCCACACGCGTGCCTCTGTTTACCTAGCAGTAAGTAAGAACCCCGTTGTTAGTTGATTGGCGGATTGCTTTTCCTGGGGTAATCATCCCTTCAAAATAAAATAATATTAATTTGGTCACTCAATCCACAACTGTTTGTGCGACAGTGCTGTGCACAATTAGCTGCCGCGTTTTGCTCACACAAAGTAGTCGATTCACTTTACAGTATATTCTGTGAAGCACTTTGAGATGTCTTGAAGAGGCGATAAGGCGCTGTATCAAATGCAAGGACTATTACTATTATTATCCAAGTGAATCTAATGGTAATGTTTATAATCGCACCTCGTACATACTGTTCAATAGCGGCGATGTCTTCTGTTTCAGGTTTCAGTGACGAGTGACCTAAAGATTCTGGAGCAGGAATACCCATGCTTGGCAGCAGTCAATCGCTGTGCTAAAGGTAAACCCACATTTATAAGAAGAAAAAAATAATAAAAAATTGGTCACTCAATCCACGCAATTGACTTTTGCCCACAAAATAGTCACTACACTTTGTAGTATATCCTATGAAGCGCTTTGAGACATCTGGAAGACGTGATAAGGCGCTGTATCAAATGCAAGGATTATTATTACTAACTGTCAAACAATTCAAATGACAGTGAGCTGTAACACCACTTAACCCATTGCCACTGCAGTGGAATCCACATGATAAATCAGATGCTGCACATCTGGATTCTATGTTAATATGGACCTCCAATTAGGGAAGCTTCCAAAGGGAAGTTGAATTGCTAACCACCCTTCATCTAACCACGTTGTGGTGAGTGGGCGAGTGCTCATGTGACACTTGGAAGGATCCCAGTTCAGAATGGGTTATTCTCCACACGCTGTATCTGTGCATAATAGGAATTCACAACTTCAGCCGTCCTATTTGTAAAGTGTGAAGTGGACTTGAGTATGTGACTCATCCTAAAAGACCTGATTTTTATTCAACAGCAAATGGAACGTTGTTAACCTCTACTTCTGATCATTTAGAATCTCACACACCACCTCTGCTCAGTAATTAACTTGAAGTGGCTGTGAGAGCCTTTAGCTTTTACTAATGTTTGTTTGAACCAATGCAGAGACCTAACCGAGTTTGACTAGTTCCTGTCATCATGTTAACCACTATCTGAAAAGTGCGTATTTTGTTTATTTTTTTATCCAGATCCACTTCACATGGACCTTGACCATAGCTTGAGTCCTGTTTTAACGCAAATCTTTTCCTTGCGTTATCATTTAAACTCATAATAATAATAATTATTGCATTTCATGCAGCTTTATCATCTGAAAGTAATTCCTATTCACAGGTCATACTGTAAAATTGTGACTGTGTATTTTGTGGACGAAACGCAGCAGCCCGTTGCACTTAGCAATGTCCCACAAACAGCCGTGGAGTGAGTGACCAATTTTATTTGGGAGATTTGTTGGACAATGCCCCGGGAGAGAGAAACCACAGTTTCCCACCAAACGTTTGAATGAAATTTCAATTTTCCATCCTTTTGATCCCTTTAGATGTGGAACGTCACCAGGCCCGAGTCATTGAACTGCAGTACACTGGCGAGGGCGATATTAACAAAACACTGTTCCTTGTTGGCAAGGTAAGGACAATCGATGTAAGGTTTGTTTCAGCTAACACATATGTGCCTCTTTGCAGTGAGCTCAACATTACTCTGTTTTTCTTAGGGGATAACGTACGACACCGGTGGTGCGGACATTAAAACCGGGGGTAGCATGGCGGGAATGCACAGAGATAAGTGTGGAGCTGCGGCAGTTGCAGGATTCTTCCAGGTACGATTTGTACCGTTTCACCCACAGAATATACAGTCAATTCACTTTACGGTATATTCTGGGAAGCGCTTTGAGACGTCTCGACTTCATAAGGCGCTGTATCAAATGCCAGGGTTAATCGTTATCAGATGTCGCGAGACCACTAGGTGGAGCACTGCCGTCAGTGAAGGGCAAATGCTTCAGCTCGGTCCGAAGTGAATTGTGTGTCGGCTTGGCTCAGTTTCTTGACTTTGAGCTGCTTGTCTAGGCTGACACAATGCTGGGGGAAGTGCAGCATCGTCAGAGGTGCTGTTATTTGGATGAGACATTAAAACTGAGGTCCCGTACGCTTGTTCAGGTTGGACGTTAAAGATCCAAAGACACAAATTCATAGAGAGAAGGGAGGTCAACAATCCCCAACCCCCCCCCCGCAAGAAATTGGTCATTCATTTCATGGCCAGCTATATACATCGTGGCGGGCAAATTGGCTGCCACCAAGAATATAGTCAGTCGCAATATTCCTGTGAAGTGCTTTGAAACATTTGCCAATGTGATAAGGCATTACAGGATATCGAATGCAAAAGTTATTAGTATCAAAGTTTCAACGGTGTAAGTTTGCTTATCTTTCTCCTGGTTCAGGTGCTTTCCATGCTGAAACCGAAAGGAATCAAGGTGGTTGGTGTGATGACTATGGTCAGGAACAGTGTTGGCTCAGGTGATGTACCTTGCAGATTTACAAGCATCATTCAAGTTTATGCTCTGCTCTGTTTGGGGTTGATACTGGTTGGGGATATCGATACCATCCTTGCTATTAATTTAACAACAACAAATTGTATTTATACAGCACCTTTCATGTCGGGAGGACATCCCAAGGTGCTGGTTTGCGGCTGAGATGGGGGTTGGATTCAAGAGGGGTGGGAAGATGACCGAAGGCACGGTCAAAGAGATCTCTTGAGACGGACCTTGAAGAGGCGAGGCAAATCGAGTTCGAGTTCCACAGAGTGGGGACAGAAAGGCTGTTCGCTTATTTTTACCACTGCTAAACTGAACTAGTTTGCCATCTTCTGTACCTTGTTTTGTGTAGATTGCTACGTGGCAGATGAGCTGATTACCAGTCGTGCTAACAGGAGAATCCGGATTGGAAACACTGATGCTGAGGGAAGAATGGTAATGGCTGACTTGTTGTGCCATATGAAGGAAAAGGTGAGCGATGCCAAGTTAACATGTGTCCGTTTGCGCCTTAGATGACGATCCAAGTAACTGGTCCACAAATTCAGAAAAGAAACTCAATTCGCTGCCGCGTTTTGCCCACAAAATACAAAGTCGCTGCGTTTTACAGTGTGTCCTGTGAAGCACTTTGAGATATCAAATGCAAAGAATTATTATTAGAATGCAATTCAGTGCTGAGATTATTCTGTGGCAGGATATCAGTTTGTATAATGAGTTTGATGTCCCAAATTACAGGCCATCAAAGAGAATTCTGCCGAACTGTTCACGATTGCCACGCTGACTGGCCACGCTGTCCGAACCGTTGGTTCCAACTACTCGGTAAGTTTTTAATTCATCTCCTAAGCTGAATTTTGTTATTGAGCATCTCTCATAAACTCAGCCCTCATGTATGTTCCCCATAGAAAATGACACGAATAATGACATACAAACCCAAAACAGGATCAGCAGGAGAGGAGTCTTTTATCATGTGATTTAACACCAACAGAAACATTCTGGAAAAATGGATAGATTTTAATTGAGTTTGCTAATTGTAGATAGAGTTTACTCAGACATTCCCTGTGCAGGGTGGTAGGTATTAACCTGCGGAACTAGTCTTCGGAGAGCTAAGTAAATGCTATAAGGAGGAACTTCAATTGAGAGTTAACCTGAAAAGTGGCTGAATAGAAGGGAAAATAGGTAACTGCCATGAATTGAAATTTCCAATTCTCTTTTGTTAAACCATTTTTTTTTATGCTTACATTTAACACAGATTGTTATGGGGAATGGTCCTGCCCACCAGGCCAAGCTTACACAAGAACTTCAAGCAGGTAAGGGCAATATCTCACCCTCTCTTTGACTGTTCAGTATGTTGGGTGACTGGTGATTATGCTGGGGTGGAGGCCATGATGGTTATAAGAATTCTATCCAGCTTCTTGTTATATTTGCTAATTCTACCGTCCACATCCGAGTCAGAATCTTTTGCATTCAATTCCCATGTCGGGACTTTGAGTTTATAGTCTAGGCTAGCACTCCCAATGCATTGCTGGGGATGCTGTCCTTTGGATGAGATGTTAAACCGAGGTCCTGTCTGTCTGTTCGGGTGAACGCTAAAGATTACAAGGCAATTTTCGAAAAGAATGGGATCTCTTCTGTTGTCCTGTCCAACAAACCCCCGTGTAAAATTGAGCATTTTCTATCTGTGTGCAAATTGGCTGCCACGTGCACCTACAAAATACAGTCACTAAACTACAGTATGTGCTATGAAGTGCTTTGAGATGCCCTCCTGACATAAAGGGCGATAAATCAATGGCAGGGATTATATTTTAGCTAAAGCATTGTATTGGTTTTCCACTTAGCTGGCGATAAAATGGGTGATTTTATTGAAATCTCTACCATTCGACGTGAGGATTACGAGTTGCACAAAGGGAAGTCTGAGTATGAAGATATCCTGCAGGCCAACAACCAGCCATCCATTTCTGTATCACGAGGCCATCAATCAGCCTCTGCATTCCTCATCATGGCTTCAGGCCTGGACAAGGTGGGGTTTATTTTTTATTTTTATTGAAAGAGCGCTTCAGTTGTTTTTTCTTGAAGGAACGTGGAATCCTGTAACTTACAGCAACAAAACAATAACAACAACTTGCACTTATATAGCACCCTCTACGCAGGGTAGCGTCTCAGACACTTAACAGTGGCGGAGCCAATTTTACAGTGTGCAAAATTGTAAAATGTCATTATTAATAATAATAAGAGTGCCCCCACTCTGTGGAACTTGATCCCTGAATCCCCTTCATTGGCTGCTGCGTTTTGCCCACAAAATATACAGTCAATTCACTTTAGTCTATTCTGTGAAGTACTGTGAGACATCTAGAGGACTTGATAAGGCGCTGTATCAAGTGCAAGGATTGTTATTAACGTTGTGGCTGACATAGAAATAAAATGCCCTTGCTTATGTTGTCCACTTTATCTGTGTTTACTGATAATGGCTTTAAGAGGAGGTGATTGGTATGAAGTGAATGTCTGATTAACACCTTTTTCTGATTCTTTTTCAGCACGGAATTGATTCAGAGAAACCTTTGCCTTTCTGCCATATTGACATAGCGGGTTCAGCTGGCCCATTCCCTGGGGTACCCAGCGGAGTCCCCGTCATCGCTATGGCAGCAAAATACATCTTAAACCGTATTTGAGAAGTGCAGAAGAGTGTAAAATCTCAAGTCCTGTATGCAGACCTAATCCCACAGACCTAATTGAACCCGGCAGTACTGATGAGAATTTGCAGGCCAGTCAACATCAGATGTAGACTAGGGACATGGTGACATCGCAGTTGATCGTCTGTCTTCAATTCGTTTGGAGGCAAAGATTAGAATTAGTGTGGAGTCAGTGTCAGTGCAGCTCTCCCAGAAACAGGTAGGCTCACAAATCTCGTCCGAACATTCTCAGGTAGGCTGAGCAGTGCAATACACTCTCTTATTGATCCTAGATTCTTAGACCAATGATATATTTGCACTCGTCAACAAAAACAAACACAAACTCATTAGTATAACAGCAAACAGCTGAGTTGAATAGAATTTAGGCAAACGGCTCAATAAAAAAAATACATGACTTTAATGTTTTTTTGTTTCAAATGAAAATGAGTGACTGGAAGACATGTAGAAGTCTGATTTCCTTCCCCCCCACCACCCCCTTCCACAGCCCACCTATAAGCGCTCTGGGGACACTACCCTGCGTGAGGGGCACTATATAAATGCAAGTTGTGAGAAGGCGTATAAATTCAAAGCTCAACTAGTGAAGGCTTTTGTTCAATGTAAACAACCTTCCCATTTGCAGTTTCAGATATTTAACCGTTTGCATGTAACTATATGTCTCAATGTTCTTTCTGAAACTAGTAGTCTTTATATATGGGTGTATTGTAATGTGGAACTATAGGTTAGGTAATGAGTACCTCAAAGTTCTGTTGTCAACTTCAGGCCCGTTGAACGGGACACACACAAGTCTTTTTTTCTCTAGTTTCACATTTTATTGGGCACAACCAAGTGCCACCTACAGAATTCTTTCAATCCGCTCCAGATTTTCACCACAATGTTAGTCTTGATCTACTTAACCATATACGTATGCCACCCACACGTTGAAATTTCCATTCCAGATGCAAGGAAATTTCCATGTGTAGGTGGCATGCATATGTGGTTTGGATACTCTTAAGTAAGTTGATGGATTTCCGCATATGTTAGATGCCTNAAAAAACCTACTGATCATACTGTAAGACTGGGGCTTTAACTCTTAAAAATGTCAGCAAACCAGTTTAAAATAACTGAAATGCTTCGAATGCAATCCATAAATATTCAAAATTTAGTATAAGTTTCTCCATGTTTGTTTCAGTGACCAGAGTAGAGCAGCGATTCCGTGATTTGTGCCTTGGAATACCCTCTCGAAATGAAAGGACTCTATCGATATAACTTTAAATTTGTGATTTGCGAGGACGCTTTGTGACTGTCCTCACAAAGTGTGGCAATCAGAATGCTGGAGATCATAGGAGGCCAGTTGGGTTAGGAGTGTGGGCAAATGTGTCAAAAACTGGGCAATTTGGGCTGAATAGCCTGTTTCTGTGTTGTAGTGTTCTGTGTTCTTAGTTGGTAGGCATCATAGGTCTGGGGTGAGGGAGGGGGAAGCGAGCAGCCAGCTGATAGATCTGGAGGTTGTGTGCTGCTGTTGGGCGCTCTGAAAGGTTTGGGTGTAGGTTTTAATCAAATCGGGTATGCTATTGTTGGAAAACGCTGACCGCGCTGTTCAGTGATTAAATACGAACTGCCATCGCAGTTACGAGATAGTTAAGAATATTCTGCCAATAAGCAAAGTGCTGATAAGCTCCTATTTATTTATAGCGACTGTCTTTCCAAATTGCCCTTCTGCACTCCCAGAGTTACAGGTAATAAATGAAGGTGCTGGGTTTATCCATTTGAGAGATTAAATAGAACCTTTGGTCTTTAGCTGTGAGGTAAAAGGACGTTTTGATCCACATTCCAAGATATAAAAAAAAATGTGGTCATTCAATCCACGACTGTTTGGATTGAGTAACCACTCCATAACTGCAGTTTACCCCTAACTTCCAAGTGCAGCGAAGATGGAAGGCCACTTGCAATAAAATATTTACCTTGTCACCTATAGCTTAGTAATAAAGATTAATCACACTTTCAGCAAAGCTTCCTACAGTACTAATGGCTCAAATACACAACTCTTAAACTTCTCTCGGCTTCCCCTTTTGTTATTTTATTCACGTTTCACTTGAGTCCCGGTTAGGAATTTGCTTGCTCCCACAATACCCTTGGTAATGAATTGGTTTTATCCCTGGTCTGCATTAATACTGATGCATTATATTATGCAAAATGTGTCAATCCTGATGAATTTATTGACCGATTGATAAAATTAATCCTTTCCTCTTCCAGGTGCTAGCTAGTTGCTTTACTGCTTTCCACGTCTCATAACCTTTCGTGTCAACCCTAACCAATCACCCTGCGTCCTCAAGCAAAATTACTTTGCATTTGTGTTTAGAAATTATGACTTGTTTTTTGAAGGAATTATTACCCCTGGAAACGCGATCCGCCAATTAACTAAAAACGGGTTCCTACTTACTCTTAGGTAAATAGAAGCATGTAGAGAAAGGAAACTTGCCTAAGATTTACCCAGCATGAGCACCTAGGTCCCTTCACTTGTGAGGCGAGTCTGCTAACTGCTACACTACATGACTTTAAATAAGGACAAACAGCCATAATGACCACCTGTCCAGCAGCTTTAGAGCTGTAACTCACCTCCTCCTCCAATTGACATAAATCTACCTTTTACTATGACTTTCAATGCAGGTTTACAGACATGGAATCATTAAATGCATTAATGGGCTTAATTACTGAGAATCGTCTTCAGCAGCGCTGGTCTGAATCCGCAGGAATAAAGTTGCCTGATTAAACTGTTCGAAGCACTACAGGCGCTAACGACCATTCCTCATGAAACAACACGGCAGACCAATGCGCCTTCTGGGGCAGGTGGAGACCCAGTGACATAAAATCATTCACAACCCGAGGACTGAATGATTAGAGCCGCAGTTAAGCTTGGAAAGCCACCAATTCAGGCTAGGGCGGAGACCTTTTGAATGTTACTAATATTTAACTAGCTGACTGAAATCGCCAGGGATCAACTCACTGCTGCTCAGCTCTAACTTTAAAGTTATGTAGGATTGCAGTAGCCCTCTCTTGGAATAATTGGGAGGGAGGGGGAATGTTTATAACTGCAGTCACTGAACTTTTACCACCCCCTGACCCTCGCAGGTCTAGGAAACTGCTGAAACCATGTCACTGTCTGCCTCGAAGGCCCACAGGATAGTGCGACCATCATACACCAACTGCCATGCCGAACCTGAAAACCCATCGACTTGGGTTCATATCTGAATATTGGTCAAATGCACGTGCAAAACCAATGAAGCGCCATTCCCATCCAGGTTGCCCTGATTGAACCCTATGCACAAGTAAAGGTAATTGTTAGTGAGGTGTTTTCTCAGCAGCCAACATTTTCAAAAGGCCAGGCTCATTTGCCACCCCGCTGACTCCAGTGATCGCTATTTTATTTGTGATATCCTTCAGGACTGCTCTAGTGCTGCTCAGAGGTCTCCATATGCAAGTGGATTATTCACGCTCTCAGGTTAATGTTTCCATGCACTGTTTGATGGGAGCAGTTGGCACCTTGAAGACACGATACATTTTATTAAAACAATTTTGAAAATTTATTCAGAGGAATAAACATAAGGAAACAATACTTAGAAAAGGCTCATCAAACATTTAGAGGAAATTAACATAACTATTTGTTGTGCTCGCTGCACCCCAGAAAAACTGGCAGTTTATGCGAATAGTAAATTGGATTACAGGCAGAAAGTGAAATAAATGTGGTAATAGAAATTACTAAATTCTGGCTACTGCGGTAGGATCCTAAGGCTAAAAGCAGCTCAGTCTTACAGGTTTAATAGCGCTTTATTCCTTTCTCTGAGAGTTGAATGAAGAATTCTAATAATAATAATCCTTGCATTTGATATAGCGCCTTATCAGGTCATTGAGACATTTCAACGCTTCACAGAATATACTATAAAGTGTAGTGACTGTATTTTGTGGGCGAAATGCGGCAGCCAATTGCGCACAGCAGACAGATAGATACTTTGGAGGTAGAGGTATAAAGGGGTATGGTGAAAGGGCGGGGCAGTGTGATTCACTGATCTGCCATTGGAGCTGAGGTTGGTGCAGTCAACAACAACAACAACAACAACTTGGATTTATATCGCTCCCTACACGCCGGACGGCGTCTCAGAGCGCTTAAAGTCAGAGCATTGAATACACTCGCAATACTGCAGCTACTATAAAGATCACAAAGCAGGAAACAATCTACGCTGTGCGTAGTTACCAGGCCAGATTTTAGAGTTGATCTAACGTTTGAAGTTTAACGTCATGTATTGTGGTGACCTTCCGGGCAGCAGGCAGGCCTTTCAGTGTTAGATTAAAATCATAGATTAGGTTGAAAACGAGTGGTGATGAAGCACAGTTTATTTCAACTCCAAAGTATTTGTGTCCCAGGGTGGTTTTGCGTTCCGCTGGCAGTATAAACAATTGCAGACTGCTCGCAGACTACAGTGGAGTTTCTCTTATATGAGATGGATGATGTTAGACCTGGGACAAAACCACAATTGCTCCGATTGACGTGGGCAGCGGAATAGTATAAATGAGGCATGGGAATGCGGGAAGGAGTAAAGTACATGGTGAAACGCCATCCACGTTAGACAGATGTCAGCTGTCTTAACCAGCAGCACACCAAAGGGAGTAAATAGCCTTGTTTCATACAGTATGTAGGTTAAAATACCATTTTATTAGGAATGCTGAAACCATTAGGATTTCAATATCCTCATTTGATATAAAAATAATACCTGGCAATGCCTCTCAGGTTGGACTTCTGCATTTGGAAGTGAAGAAATTGTCGCAATAATTTCTGGGGTGATCCGAGATGGACAAGCAGTGAGAAAGTTTGCCAGATAGCAATATCGATGGCAAAATGTGCGGGTTTGAGTTGGTTGGACTCCAGCAGTTACACCAACGCACACTCTGGGCTCCCCCAAGCCTTGGCTCTTTCCGGAATTAGGTAAACACGGGGCGTCCCCCCACGGAGAGAACGCACATTCCATTCCTACAATCTTTCGCTGTGATTTCCATGTGTAGGTGGGATGAATGGAATTCTCAGTTGGGTTTGGATACTCTTAAGCAACGGTGATAGGTTTCCGTATGTGTCAGACACCCCAAAACATAAAATTCGCAATCATTTGGACAGCATTTTAGAAACGTTTCATGAAATGCAAAAGTTGCAAGGTTGTCTTAATGACATATTTCAGAGACTAAAATGATTGTTAAAATCATGTAGCCCTTCACTTTACCAACGCAGCACTGTGACCAGCGCAGTATCGAAAGGCAGATCGAACCGCAGTCTTCAATGTACAGTAATTCAGAATCCTGAAGGCAGTGCGGCTGAGCAGCAGAGCTGAGATTCCTGTATCTCAGTAGCCAGCAGTCACTGCCTCTTA